TTACAATTACGGTCGACACAAGGTTTTTTTATTTTATTAATATAATCATTTCTAGTTTTTCTCAACCTGGGTGATCTTCTTGTAATTGTGGCCTCCCTGGGTCACGCTGACATTATATTACATATGAGGGCAAGCTTCACAAGCACAAATCAATATTAATAATCTCATATTTTACCACCAGTATTTTTTATCCTTATCATCAATGTATGACAGCTTCTGCAGTGGTGCTGATGATGTTGGTTTGTGACGCTCTCTCTTTCACACACAGTCAGATTTTGCTGTTAGGTGTAAGAACCCCCCCCCCCCCACTATCCATCTGCAAAAGCTCTGATTGGCTGATAACAAAAATCACCTCGATCAGATTTGTCGGAACACTGAATATCAGAATATACATGTGCAGCACACATGTGTTCTTGGCACCATTCGGCACGGAGCTGCTACAGCGCCACTCCCTCACTCTTGCTTGCTTGCGCTGCCAATTCACCGGTGGTAACTAAAAGTAGAGCCTGATGATTTCTTTTTATTCATAGTTTATGATAAAGTTTACAGTTAAACTGTAAAATATTAAGCCTCAATTACATTTATTTTTTATATTCCATATAAAATAACCATCCACATAGCTAGCTCATTAGCTTTGTCACCGGTGTGCAATGAATCCTGGGATAGGTTGGCGCGAGAATGGATCCACCCGTTGGATCCTTCATTGCATTCCTTGAATGGCACACATTCAAAATGGTACAGCGTAGTTGAGCCGCTGTGGTACGATCAGATTTCTAATGAAGTCTCTGAGACACAGGTTTTCTGACAGGTCCATTCACGCTGCGGCAGCAGACAACTTTAAAACTAAAGTTTGATATACAGACGCTGTTCTCCACACCGCTCCAGTCGCCTGAGATAAAACAGACTGTACTTTGAGGATCCAAAAAGTCCATTAATCCTCATGTGATAAATTAGCTGCCTCAGGTCTCATTGATCTAATAAGAGCATTATATCCTTTAGTAAGCCATTCAAGAGACTAATGTTCCCTGAACGGCTTTCTCAGGCAAATGATGCATTGCTGCCGGAGCTGGACAGACCTTCAGTCACTTTCAGGCTCAGTGTCTCAGTGACTGTGGTGCCTGGCTTTGTTCCACAGAGAAAATGTCTGCCAGCACCGACTTCTCTGTCCTGAGAGGACCCGAGACAAACACACAATCAGTTTGTGTGATGGAGTCGGTGGAGGGAGGCGCGCCAGGGCCTTTTCATACATTGTACCAGGTGAAAGCTCGGCTGTCACTGCAGCCACTAAATGAAACAGATGTTTTCCTACTGGTACGTGTGAGCTAATTGGTTTTTCTTTAACACCCTGACCTCACACTGACCCTTTATGAAGCCTGTACTCGCCCTCATTTCAGCTAACCAGGATTTACTCCGCTCTCATCTCCACCACCCTGCCTCAGCTGAAAGGTCATTTCCACTGACCCCTGATCTGTGGGTGTCAGTTCTGTGAGCGTATTATATTGAGGTAGTTTTGTTGTTCGTGCTGATGTTGTTTTGAAAAATAACTATCCCATGTTCTTATACGGCTTTAAAAAGCAGAGGTACGTACTGAACACTTTATGTGGGGGGGGATTACTGCATGTGAACACAAGGCAAATCAGTCACAGTAATGAACAAAGAACAGTGCAGAGAACGCCTCAGTTTGAATGGGATTCTTACTATAGCTCTTTATACTGTACAGGGGCTGTGTTTCACATAGCTGAGCTAATCAATTTTAATCCCTCTGACAAACGCTATAGTGTTTTACTGCAGTGGTTCCCAACCACTGAGCTGCAGGCCAGTGCTCGGCCTTGAAACATTTGCTACCAGACAGAAAGGAAATATTATGATTAATTAAAAAAAAGCTGAAAATAATTATGTAATTTTAATATTTAGTTTTTATTCATCATCAAACTTGGTATTACTTACAACAGCAGAAAAGTTATTTCAGGCTAAAGTCACAGCTCATCATTACATGGAAATTAGTTCAAGGTTTTCTCACCTGAAAGTCTGAACTGGTTTAAGATCTGTGTTGCATTTGACACTTGTATAATGTATATACACATCCTGTTGTCTTCACCTATGTGGGCTGCTAAATATACCTAAACTTAACATTGATTGGTTTGTGGACGGGCGTGCCGCTGTCTTTTCAGATATTGTATTAACGTACTTTTTTTTTGTGCATAGAAAGAAAGAAGCCACTTCATTTGGAAGGAGATGTGTTAATTTTGTTGCCACTGTAATTATAGTATTACGACCAAAATTAACGCTTGTGTCATTAAAACATTTTATTGTTGGAGGCGAAGTCTACATCCATTTCTTCTTCTATCATTTAATGCTGTCTCAACTTCCTGCATTAGGTCTGACAGGTCAAACTATCCGAAAAGGTGTTTTTACACTGAAAATGAACTTTGGTTTGTTTGATCCAGACTGAGACGACCTTTTATAGTCTGACTAAATTTTGGTGCAGGGCACCTTTCACAACTGTCATCGTGGTTCACACTAATCTGAAAAGCCTGAAGAACCAAACAAGGCAGGTGTGATGCCGACACTTGAAGTGTTACATTCATTAAAATACAGTGTGGTGCAGGTGAAACGGATTTAACAACATCCACATGTTTGTTTCACGAACATGATATCGCAGCAACGCCATCAGGGAATCACTTTAACTTTGGTACAAACGTTCTCTTGGACTCAAGAGTGAACTGATTGGAATTTGGTGGTCAAAGGTCACGGCCACTTCACAACATGTTTTGTTCTCTTATCTATTCCACTTGTCCTTTTTGGTGGTTGCAGGGGGAGCTGAAGCCAGTAGACACCGTGTGTACTACACTACTCACATTCACACCTATGGTCAATTTAGAGTCTCAAATTAAATTACTAACCTCAATCTGCTTGTCTTTGGAGGAAGCTGAGTTTCCAGGAGAAAACTCACACATGCCAACTCCACACAGGAAGCTGGGATTTGAACTAGAACCCTTCTTGCTGTGAGAGATCAGTAAAACCGTTGCACCATCTTGAAAGGGAGCGACCTTTTAAAACATGATCTCTAAAGAATACTTTCAGGGAATTTCTCAAATTTGAAAAAACAAACAAACTCATGGATACTATGTGAGGCCAGATATGAAAATATACAACAAGTCTAACATACATAACATACAGTCTCAACAGTTTGCTGCATGTGCAGGTTGTTTCTGCTGCAGATACAAAGATGTTTAGTCTGGTTATAACTTTTTTGGCACAGAAACTCATTTCACACAGTTGCAACTTTAAAATGATTTTTACATGACTGCTGTAGGAAGCTGAAGCTCCTGCAGCCTGTTTACTACACATAACCCCTGACTAAGCATGCCCCCTCACTCTGCCCAACCTCTGCACGGTCAGAAACTTCTCTGGTCCTGACCGCTCACTCAAGAGGATTAGCACAATTAACTCCCAGGGCACCGACAGCTCTGACACATAGGCCACAGACACCCAGACGTGATTGGTTGTGATGTGAGAGAGGATGGTATCATGGTCCCTGAGCCTCATGTCTCTGTAAGGGGGGTGTTTAATATCTGTGGACACTGTCAACCCCTTTAAAAGCAAATGCAAACCCATCTTATTACAGGTGCCTTTGAGTAGCTTTACTTATCCTATCTCTTTTTATTAATTATTTTTATACCGTGTCTCTGTTCTCCTCTCTTTCATCACTTTGAGACGTCTGAACAAGGAACTTGCCATATAAATAGATCAGAGTTGTTCCAATTCATCCTCAAGGGAACCGGGGATGTCTGTACCAAACTTCATCACAATCCAACCAATACAGATATTTTAAAAGTAAGTAAAGTAAAAATCCAAAATGTTTAGAGGGAAAGTCAGCAGATCTCCATCTAGATCTGCAACATGCTGATCTACAGTATATAACATGTCATGTCATCAGGGTTCATCCTCTGGGGACCATGAACCATGTCTGTATCATAATCATGCTATACTTTCACTCTCTGCTCAAATATCTTGGTCTGAACCAAAGTGGATCAAGGATCAAGATGATCTGTATAATCCCTGAGAGAGCAGTAAGTACACATCCATCAGAACAATAACTGGCAGAAAACAATGATATAAAAGTTAGAACACACATTTCAAGCATAGGTGAGGACATTTTGACCGGTCTTCACTTTCTTCAATGGGCTGTCAAGACTTTGTTTTAGGGTTAGAATTAGGTTTAGGTTAGAGTTAGGCATTTAGATTGGATGGTTAGGGTAAAGGGCCAGGGAATGTATTATGTCAATGAGTGTCCTCACTAAGATAGAAGTACAAATGTGTGTACGTGTGCGTTTGAGTGACTGTTTGGCCACATACGAAAGTTTTTGTCTGAAATTCTTTTCCATTTTTCCCACTTGCAAATAAATACTGACCCTGTGAGAAAACTGTGAAATGTTGGTGCTGCTCTATTGAATCCTCAGGTTGAAAAGCAATAAAAAAGAAAGTTCTTATTGCAGTTAAAAATCGAGAGGAACAACATAACAAAGAGAAATAATGTATCAAGGATGTCAAAGAATGTGAGGGAACTTTGCCGGCCCTTTCCTTTCACAGAGTCATTAATGGCTCCTCAGGGAGTTCCGCATAGTTCAGCGAGGTTTAACCAGCACTGACCGCTGAAGGTTTCAGAAATCTTTCTTTTTGGTGGCTGACTGAAACAATGCATGTTGTTGAAGTGAAAATGGATTTCTTATAAGTACAAATTCCAGTGGCTAAATTGAATAACACTGATAAATCAGCAAATGCAGGAAAACAGTGTTTCAGAAAGCATCTTATCTCCTAGAGTGCAGACATTTTTCGATATCCTCTTAGGTCACACATGCTAAAGGGCCACGGAGTGAATTTCTCTTACCTTGTGTGTGCGCGTGTGTGTGTGAGAGCCCGGCACATGACAGAGGGGTGGAGAAAGTGTGGTAGGAGCACAGCACTAAGCCTCCCACTGCCTATAAGAACTCGACCGACCTGAGCGTTTAGCACCGTCGTGTCCAGATTGTCCAGCAGTTTGATCTAGACACTGAACGAACTCTACTTTTCAACTTTACTCACTGGAAGAAGCAGATGAAGTCTGAGGCCGAGGTGCCACAGGCAACGTCAGGACTGTCACAGTAGATACCGAGCCACAGATCACGTCTGGAGTATCTGTGAAACATATGCAGTGATTTATTTTTTTCCTTCCATACATATTCAGAGACGCTGAGTCCCATTCAATGATGTCAGCGGCGTGTTAACGTGCCTCAGAGACCACTGTGTATCTGCAGAGCTCATCTGGCCTAGTTGGAGAGCTCCTGCCAAGGTAAGAAGACGTCTGACAAAGACAACGTGCACCATCCAACATTAGATTTTTCAGCCTGGATATCCATGGAAGGTGTATTTCTTTATCAATGTTACAACACTTACTACGTGAGCGCGACAGATTTCCCTGAGCAAATATTAAACACACTGTTCTTCATCTATAATTAATCAGACAAATTCACTAGATCTAATAAGTGATATTAGAAACCTGCAGGTCACAGGAGGCCCGCGGCGTGAATGCTTACTCTTTTGCCCAGGAGCTCAAAGCGGAAAAAAAAAATCTAAAAGAAGAAAAATGTAATGTTCGTTCAACAAAACTCAAAGTACATTTACTGTGAATCAAACAAACCTATTAATCAAACATGTAGCTGAATAAATAACTCAAAAGAGGAAGTTTAGACAATCCACTGAGGATCTGTAGAGTTTGATGCAGCGATGGATAATATTTCTGTTAAAATGTCTTTATGCTTTGACTTTTAATCCTGTTGTCCTTCTGTTAGTGTCCTCTGCAGAGCTGATCCTGATTTGTGCTGATATCTGTCTGTTGTCAAGTGGCACTTTGAGGCTGCCTACTTTAACTGCTTTATTTAGACCTGAGCAGCAGGAGGAGGAGGAGGAGGAGGTGGTGGGGGGGGGGTTACCAGTGATGCCCCTGCACATTCGACTGCTTATGTCACTCTCCTGTCTGCCTTAAATGAATCAACTCAGAGAAATGTTTGATAGCCTACATTTTCCTCTGCGTTTTAGAGCCAAGACGATCCATCCTTTGTATGAAATTATCTGTTTTATTCATTATCCCTGCACCTCCTGCCATTCCATTGTCCCGTCTGTCTCAACTTGTCCCTCTATTCATCATCCAATGTTGACGATTGAGCTTTTTCACTTTTTAAAAAGCACCGTCAGTGTGGTCTCTGTGCTGCCAGCGCGGAACATTTCCCCAGCACACTGTCCTATTTGAGAGGCCTCGTGGATATGTGTGTGTGTGTGTGTGTGTGTGTGTGTGTGATTGTCTATTTTAAGAAGGTGAAAATCGTTTCTGCTGACTTTCTTGTAATTGTGCAGAACTTCTGTTGTGAAAGAGGAAAAGCTGACGGGTGTGAATCTGTTAATGAAACGTCGTCTTTGTTTGTGCTGGTTTGATAAATGAAATACAGGAAAAATAGTTGTATGCTTTTCTATTTTAATTTTGGACTGAGCCAGGTTATCTGTTCCACTGTTCCTCCTGTCTTTATGCTAAGCTAGGCTCAGCTGCACCAGCCCTGCACGGATAAATACTGAGCTTCTCAAGAAACCAAACAAAGTAGTTACTTCTTAAACTGGTGAATTATTCAGTTTGTCATTAGTATGTGTACATGGTTCTGTGAGAACCTCTCCAGAACTCAAGTGTTTGTGACCTTGTCCCACAGTAGAACACTCAAGTGCTAAGTGTTGATATGTGATGATGACCAGAGCCTGACCCATGTGGATTTGCGGCCACTGATATTAGAGTGTATAAACTTCCCATACCAATAAATCGGCTGAGATTTCCAATGATTCTTGAAATACATCTATATTGAGCTTGAAAATAAAGATAACTTTTTATGTTGCTATTCTGTAAAATAAAACTTAACTGATAACCGATAATCAGTTGAGCTCAAATAATCACCTTTTTCAAAAAACCCTGTCACACCAACATGTAGCGACCTGTGTTTTACCTGATACGTCCAGCTCCCCCTGCAGACATCCCTCTGTCTCTGTTCAACTGACAGGATGCCGACAAATCCCTGATCATCCAATAAATAAAACACTTTCGGTTCAAATATTTTAACTCTGTTTGCCTGTATGCAAATTTAATTTGTTACCACCAAGTGACACAAGTTCCTATTTCTCCTTCATTACCTAATGAATCTGTAGAACAATGCAGCAGGCGCATTTACAGCTGCAGCAGCAGCTAAAATCCCAGCTCAATAACAAAAGTTCTTTAACACATTAAATATTCACCACTCGCTGCACACAACTGGCTTTATCCAATACGTTTTCAGAGCACTAAACTAATTCATCAACCAAATCAAGCCCTCCTTGGCTGAAAAACACTATATCATCACCCACTCCGAGGATAGCAGCGGGCTATTGAGCCGTGTAAATTCAACCTGTATTCACGGTCTGATCGATGTTCTCCTCGAATACTCTCCTCTGTGTAAACAATACAGTAAACCGTTTGACTCTGCAGATGGACTCTTATTCATCACCTCTAAAGTGAGACTGTGGAGGATCAGTGGGTGGGAGCTCAGTCAATATCACGCAGAGAGCAATTCAAAGCAATGCCAGGCCAAAAATTTCATCCTGAATCTTAACTTCTGTTATCAAGTTAGGGAAATGTTTTTTGACAAATCTGATCTTTTGGAATACGTGCAAGGTATCAGCAAAGCAGTGGTGCTGAGAGGTACTTAAAGGTCAGTATACCGAGGGTGTGCTCTACTGCACCCTGTGCTGTGCCTCTTGATGCTAAATGTGCACAACGACACAAGCAGAAGTGGACACTGCCAGCAGAGAATAAAAAGGCCAGCTTGTTTTGAGAGATGAGACTGACAGTGTCAGTGGACACAGTCAGCATGTATATCTTCTATATAATGAAGGTAAAATATCTTTGACAGTTCAGATGTGTCAAGCACTTACTGGCGGCAAAGAAAAGAAACATAGCTGTGTAATTAAAGGGTGAAAAGGGTTGCATAACTCCATTGTCTGTTTAACATGAATACTGTTTCTTTTTCCTTCACCTTTGAAATATTTGACACCAACGCCACTGAACAACTTTCTATCAGATTAGCAAATGAGAACCTTCATCTCCTTCTCACACCCCCACCGTCATTAACGGTTCCATTGAAATGAATTGAAACCTGCATAGAAAGTGGAATTAGAAAGTCAGTCCGGCAAACAGTTTCGAAAGGAGAAACTTAACGGGTGAATTGTGGCAGAAGTGAGTCACATCTTTAAACCACACATCAAAACCTGATTCACTCCTATTGGAATGATCATTGAAAGTTTAAAGGTTAACTTTAATGATACAGAGGAAGCAAACAGAGAACTAACGAGGAAACTTACAAACTAAAATCAAAGTTTAGTAATAATTTTAATGTTTCAGTGTTAATATTGTCATATCACTGATTTACTTTATTTCATATTTACTCTTAAAAATAACTTTTATTGCTCTGTTAGACACTTGTTGATGAAACGTCTTTATAACCATTTCCAAGGCTGTTTTTTTATCTTCCCGTGTTCATTGATGAAATAGAAATAAAAAAATACTAATGACCAAACTATCAGCATTTGTAACAAGTAAAATATTTTACATTTATCAATCCAACCATTTAAACTTTTTATATATGTAACATATTACATTTTAGTTTCTTTTATTGATTTAATTTATAAAAAAACTAATTCGACAGTATGAATAGTAATATTCATGGAATGTAATATAATATTCATGCATGATGTGTTTTGTTTTGTTGAAATTATTGAACTAAACTATTTCATCTTTCAGTTTGTGATAAATAAAATAAATGAATATATGATGAAGAGAATCTTGACTGAATTAAAAAAACAAAATAATCAAACTGTTCTCTGTGCTGCTTTTCTCTCGCCTGAACAGGTCCTCATATTTGAAAACCAAGCAAAAATGGCGCCTGCTGTCGGTGGACCTCAAGGCTACACGCCACCTGAAGGCGGCTGGGGGTGGATGGTGGTGATCGGGGCTTTCATATCCATAGGCTTCTCTTATGCGTTCCCCAAGTCCATCACAGTCTTCTTCAAAGAGATTGAGGTGATCTTCGATGTGACCAGCAGCCAGGTGTCCTGGATCTCCTCCATCATGTTGGCGGTGATGTATGGCGGAGGTGAGCTATGATCGAAAACACAACCTGCCGAACGTGGCTCTGTTAACGTTGACATGTGGCAGATTTATTCAGAGCGGATCCATTACTTTCAGCTCTGTCACCTCTCAGCCTTGGTTTGTCCACAAAGAGGCCACAGCTCCCAAAGAGGCCACAGCTTAAATCAAACATCTCATACTGAGATTAAATAACACTGTATGAAGCCTTATCTGTCTCTGGAGCATGTGAATGGGTTGTTAGCCCTGTTCGCCCTCTGATTGTCTCCTCTGTGCTTCCAGAGTGAACGTTTGGTTGCATTCCTTCACTAATAAGATGAACGGGGCTCTGGATGATGTCACACAGGTCCGGCCAGTCCTGTGATGATCAGGCCTCGCTCTTGAGTGTGATCTTGCAACACGGAGAGAACAAAGTTTAAAGTAGCTCTCCTCGTCCCTGAAGACGGTCCGGCTCTGAAGTCAAAACACTGCGGCTCTTTTTACCCTAATGTGCAATAAACTGGAAAAAAAGATGACATGGGCAACTTTCTCTAATCTCAGGAATGTTTCTGGAAAGTTGCCTCAGCGTGCCAAACAGATTTGAAGTGGAAACTATATAATGTAAAAGCATATAAAACACTTTATATCCAATCTTCTTTTCCGGCATGAGGCTAAAATTTATTTGCAAGATCTGCAAGCAATCAAATAAAAGTAGACAGTATTTTCTAGCTAAGCTGGAACTGCAACCATTGCATATTGAATGTTTTAGATAAAGATTTTTATTATATTTTTACTACATATTTTCTATTAAGGCAAGTTTCCACATATCTCCTGTTAAAGGAATTAGTGCTACTTACGCGAGTAGCTGCAGGGTGACATGCAAGCAGTAGAAGAGGCAAGGCAGTTTTATCTATGAAGCTTATTTCATACACAGAGTCAAGGTGCTGCACAGGGACATAAACACAGGCACACGATTACAAGAAATCGAAGGGCACATTTCAAGCAATATAAGAGATTTAAACGTGTAAGAAATTAAAAGAATAAAATCTATATAAAAATGTAAAAATAAGTTGAAGTATTCAAATAGCACAAATATAAAAGATAGAAATGTATAAAATGAAATAGAATAAAAGTATTGTATGACCTTAGATTTTGTAAGGTAGTCGGTCCCAGTGTCCCATAATGGCTGAGGGCTGCAACACTGAGTTACAGTGATTTGTCTTTCATTTTGCATCTATCCATTATCTATATCAGCTAACCGATAATCAGTTGAACTGCAGATGCAGGAGCAGCTGGAGCCAATCCCAGTTGATTTTGGGCGAGAGGTTCACCCTGGACAGGTCTCCAGCGTATCACAACAACCATTCACACTCACAACTACGATCAATTTAGCATCTCCAATCAACCTGACCTCAATCTGTTTTTGAACTGTGGGAGGAAGCCGGAAACCCACGCAGACACAGGGAGAACGTGCTGTCTCCGCACAGAAAGTCCCCTTCCAAGTTTGAACCAGGAAACTTCTTGCTGTGCCAACCACTGCACCGCCATGCAGATAATGTGTAATATTTGTTATCAGAAGTAACACGTAATAAATTTAAGCTCCTGTGGGCTGTTACCTATTTTCGTTGCTGTGATATTTGCACCTTTCTTCACAAGTTATGAGTCTCAGTGGACTCAGTGTCTCTCAATGTTCTTACATAACTTTGATAGTTAATGCAAATGTCGTCGTACATAAATACACTCTGATGAAAAGGAAGCTATGCATGATAATTGAAAGTAAGTGACAAGTTGTTTCTCTGTGCCGTGAGTGGATGACAGCTGAAGTTGTTGCTGTTTGTTCAACATTCTGAGCACACCAGCGGAAGTTCATTAGCGAGTAGCTGTTGCATACCTCCGCACTCCTTCAATTTTTGATTCATTACAATAATATTCTTCATTGGTTTGTCTCTTTTTTTTAAATCTGAAGCTACTCTCCCTGCAAGGCGGGAGGAAAAAACTCATTGTTGGGAGTGCGGTCTCGCTGTATTACAATTTAAAAACCCTTTGTCTTGCACCGTGCTGGCAAATGAGACTGGACAACCTCTAAACAAAAACTGTCAGTTTCCATTTGGGTTCATTGGGTAGTGCAGGGATTTGGCAGAGAGGCAGAAGTGTCTTCTGCATGGATCCTCACACTCATTTAGGCCAGTTGTTATAAGCTGTAGATGGAGATGGTGTTTGTGACCTGAACCCTGTTTTGGATTTTCAGGAATTTGTTTTCAAGTTATTGGGATTTTGTTAAATTGATGTTGAATCCAAGGTGCATGCATATTAATGAGTTGGTTTACTGTTGCCTGACACACACGCACACTTACACACTAATGCCCCCACCCACTGAGGTACTTCTAATAATCATTTCAAATGTGTTTAAAGTCCATTTAGGAAGAATTTAGAATTTAGAAGAATTCCTCTGTCAATATCTATGAATCTCTGAACCAAATAAATGATTATTTCATTACAGCTTTCATGGTTTTTCTGACAGATTGCATTATTAATGCCACAAGTACACATCTACTGCACTGCAGCACTGACAAAAAAGCATTTGCAGAAGTTGTTGAATGTGTTGAGCCACAGATGTGGCACCAGAGCCCTCTCGTGGTTAGATTTAGAACTGTGCATTGATGATGGAGTAGATATCAGCATCTCTCAGTTGTAATATGTATGCGTCTGTTTGCTTTTTTTTTCTCCTGTTAAGGTCCCATCAGCAGCATCCTGGTGAATAAATATGGGAGTCGTCCTGTTATGATGGCTGGAGGATGTCTGTCTGGATTGGGCCTCGTTGCTGCCTCGTTCTGCAAGTCTGTCGAAGCACTGTACTTTTGTATCGGTGTGGTCGGAGGTACCTATTTTTACTTTTTCTATCTAAGTTTAGTCATGACTCACCCATTTTTTTCCTACACACCGTTGCCCTCTTGTGTTCTTGAAAACATATTTAAAAAAGAAAATAATTTTTAAGCTCATATATTTAACATTAATCATTTAAAATCCTTTAGGTTTGGGTTTGGCCTTCAACCTCAACCCAGCCCTCACCATGATTGGAAAATACTTCTACAAGAAGCGTCCTATTGCTAATGGCATTGCCATGGCTGGCAGTCCTGTGTTCCTCTCCACCCTGGCTCCTTTAAACACCTGGTTCTTCGACCAGTTTGGCTGGAGAGGAAGTTTCCTGATCCTCGGTGGCTTGCTCTTCAACTGCTGCGTTGCCGGATCCCTCATGCGCCCAATCGGACCCAAAGCGAAACCAGTGGAGGAGACCACAGAGAGTAAGACTGTGATCCAGACCATCAACAGCTTCATTGACCTCTCTTTGTTCAAGCACCGAGGGTTTTTGCTTTACATCCTGGGCAACATCATCATGTTCTTTGGCCTCTTTGCTCCTCTGGTGTTCCTCAGTAATTATGCCAAGAGTAAAGACATCCCTAAAGAAAAAGCAGCTTTCTTATTGTCTGTGCTGGCCTTTGTCGACATGGTAGCCCGGCCCTCAATGGGCATAGTGGCAAACACCAAATGGGTGCGGCCCAGAATACAATACTTCTTTGCTGCCTCTGTGCTGTACAACGGTGTGTGCCACGTCCTAGCTCCCATGTCAGTAGACTACAAAGGATTTGTCATTTACGCCATCTTCTTTGGGTTTGCATTTGGCTGGCTGAGCTCAGTGCTTTTTGAGACCTTAATGGACCTCGTGGGAGCTCAGCGCTTCTCCAGCGCTGTCGGCCTGGTCACTATTGTAGAGTGTGGACCTGTGTTGCTGGGCCCCCCTTTGCTTGGTAAGTACATCACCCAGTACATGAAGACAAAGGAAATTGTGATCAATCCATATGTGTGTTGTTAATCACAGTGGAAAGAAACCTGACTCTTCTTGTCTTTGCAGGAAGGTTCAAGGACATCTATCATGATTACAAGTACACGTACCAGGGCTGTGGGGTCCTTCTCATCGTCTCCAGTGTTTTCCTGTTTGCAGGGATGGGACTCAACTACCGGCTGCTGGACAAAGAGAAAATAGAAGAGGAGAGGAAGGCCAGTGTGGGAGGTAGAGAAGTCCAAGAGGATCAATGCTGCTAAGGAAGTGGCGGACACGAGGAAGACAGACGACACAGTCTAACATTCTGCACCACGTTAGGTTACAGTTTTTCCAATTTAATATTGTCTGTGAGATGTATATTCATATTCATTAAGATATAGGATGCTTGCACGAAGCAGTACAGAGAAACACAGTCTTCTATGACTCCTCGGTTTCATAATGCATTGTTTTTGAGCACCACCATTTGCAAAACCGTGTAAAATATTTACACACCTATTAAAGCCCTTTAAACTTGTATAAACAATTCACATATAATACCGCTGATATTCTTATATGGACTAGTATAATGGGTTTCGACTATTTCATTTTGCTTTGCCTTTTATGTCACTATATATTAATATGTTGTTTTTTATCTTAGATTGTATCACTCTAACTTTACTGCAGCATATTATATTAGCTAGTTTAAAATATTAATATTCTAAAAAGCACCATCTTATAATCAAGGTTTTTTTCATTAAGGAACATAATGAACCCTATTTGCAGTTTCTGAAGGTTTTAAAACAATCTCCATTCCACAATATTCTATATTCCACAAATGTGTTTATGAAAACTCAAATCCTCTTATAAACTTGTTTGATCTTTGGTTAGTTTTTGAGGGTTTTTGAGGGCATTGAACCTTGTTACATATTCACGATAGGAAATGTGCCACTGACTACAAGTTCATGTAAGTGAAACACATTTCAGAAAATTAAATAAACAACATAAAATAATGTCCCATGTATCCTCTGTATATATTCTCAAACTGCCCAGCAGAGCCATGCATTCGCTTGATACTGAAGGCAGATTTACAAAACGCAGGAGGAATCAGCTTTTCAACATGGATCAGGAGGTTTTGGTTGTTGCTCAAGTAAGAATACTTTCAGAGAGGTAGCTGTAGCTGTAGTAATATCTTCCTTTGGACAATTCAGAAGTGCTGTAAAAAGGACCTGCTATTCATGCTGGACTATTCTGTACAAAACTGCTTTTTCCATTGTGCTTTCTCTATAAGAGAAATGTTTAAAAATGATATTGAATTTCAGGACACACAGAGAGTTTCACAAGTTTTCATTTCATTCCTTCTGCATAATACATGTGTTTTTTTTTACTGTGCTAAGGAATTAAATGAGACGATCTAAAGACTCTGGAAGCTTTTCCTCTTCTTTTTTCCCTTGTCAAATTTATTTAGGCTTCATTGATCAGTTTCTACTTGTATGACATGTCTCCCACTTCTTTTGCGAACAGATGATTCCGTCAGTGAACCTGCAAACTTCACTGAATCCTCAATGGATGGTCTAAAAGTCTTGGCCTGGCAGAGGCAAATGCAATATCCTTTACTTCTGTTGGTCTTATTAAATAATGTGTTTGGGGTCACAATAAGCTCACATATTTCATCAACGTGACCAGAGTCTCAGCTCTTTAAGTCTGGGCATGAGGCTTTTTGATGGACAGCTGTTTATTATGTGGCCCGAAGGTCTGCTATTGGACAAACAGGCAATTTGGTTGTCTCTGTCTCTCTGGAATAAAATGTACTGTATATGCCATCTCACTTAAACACTGTATTATGAAAGTGGACAGGCCGATGAACAAGAGTGGAAGAAGTACTATCTTTTTGCTTTGGTAAAATAGCAAAACCATAAAAAAATAACCATAATACAAATATTTATCCTGCTTTTAAAGTTGTACTTGGCCTACTTCGGAGTAATACACACGCCTATTATACATACTTATTATTATTATCTAGAATAAATGTATTAGCCTTTATTATTTATTTATTATTAACCAGGTTAGTGCCATTGAGATTAAAAATCTATTTAGCAACACAGTTTCATCAGTAAAAATACAAACACATAGTTTATTAACGTTAGTTAAAAGTTGTATTTGTCATGTGTAAGTTAATGTAGGGTCAACAGTACAATAAGGGCGTTGGACAATAAGAAACAGCTCAGCTCAGCAGTGCAATAATTACATTAAAATAAAAGCAAAGTAGAAAGAGCTTAGTATAATAAAAAGTCAAAATACAATGCAATACTTTATAACATATACATTCATACAAATATAATATATTAATGAATCTCTCCCATAATAACAATACACATCAGGCAGACAGAACATGACTCCTGATGTGTATTCACTTCTTGCCATTCATTTAAAAGAATTGAACTACAGCAACCAGAACATTATTTGAAACACATTATATAAAATTAAATATAATAGACAAGCTTTTAATCACTTGGATAAATGACAGACGTGACTTGCCACCTCTGTTACAAATAAAAATCATGTTAACGCATTATTAATAAAAACTATAAATACTCACCTCTCCCATGTGAGCCTGATGATGTCCGATAATGGAATCAGGCACCGCGATGACCGTTGACGACCTCTCATTAACGCACGCGCTCGCGCTGCTCACCTGTGACGCGACACCGGAGTCTAACGGTTAACGTCCGTCACTTGTCCCGTTGTTACCGGTGAAACCTGCCGTGTCACCGGCAGCAGGTCAGTCCCTCGGTCGTCTACCGGAAAATAACGTCGCCACGGCCGAAGCCTGGCGTTTCACTGTGTCTGTGGCTTTTATCTTTGTTTTATTTAAACGCAGCTAAAGTGCTAGCTCCACATGCTACACCGGTACACCGGCCGGGGTTAACACCGAATTAGCATTAGCAAGTGAACTACCAGTCAGGTGAGTGGGTGAGTTATAATCTGACATTATCGTTATATTTATGAAACTAATTAAACTACTGAAGTGGTACATTTACCTTCACTTACAGTTGAGATACTTATCTCTACCATTTTATTCCATTTTAAAGTTATTTTTAAAAGAAATGTGCTGCTCAACATTTATTTGACAGATTTAGCCACTTAGTGAAGATTTGACATTAAAACACAATGTACTGTTGATAACATGTGCACGTGGACGTCTTCATATTTCTACTGTAATGTCATGGATGTACGTACTTCCTCCACCTCTGCTAACATCTGTGTGTAGCCGTGTGTGGAGTTTGCAGGATGGAGCCAGACCGAGCGTTTCACTTCAAACTGTTGGTGCCGCCCAGGGTGAGCGGCGGACAGGTCTCTGCTGTGAGGCCTCAGGAAAAAGTTGACAAGTGTGGGGATTTCATGAATACATTACAGCAGGTGAGTCAAATTAAAACGAATGGTTAACCAGCATATGGATGAATCGAGTAAAGGCATCGTGATGCGGCCTCACGTCTGAGAGAGTACTCACGTTAGTGAGCGTTGCTTTTCTTGTTGCAAGCTGAAAGCTCTCATGTATGGAGACAGCTGGTGTCTTAAGAGCCAGTTATCATTATCGTAAAAAGACTCATCATAACTATAATGGTTGTTTTTCCCCTAGGATTACAGTATGTGCTTTGACAAAGGGCAAAACATGGCTTTTCCCAATACAAGTATGGTAACCCCAGCTAAACCAACCAGACAAGGTGTTTTCTATAAACACAACACTGTGAATATGATTTTCAATACAAAGAACTGGTTATCGTTCATGTTATAAATTCATTATTTCCTCTGTTCCAAAGACTTTTCCAAGATGAAAGTTGTGCCACCGATGGAAAAAGAAGAGGTAATGTATTCATTGTACGGAAATGATAAATATGGGGAGGAAATATACCCGGCTTGTACAACATTTTTATTCTGCAGTACCTCAGTTTACTTCCCGTCATTGTGATTGTTCCTCAGAATAAGTGTAATCCTGGGCAGCTTTACACCAAGCTGCTTGATGAAGTTGAGAAAATCAGGGACTGGAAGGTCAAAGTGGATTCTGACACAGTGCAGAAAGAAAGACGACTCCAAGAAAACAAAAGAACAATAGAAACTCAGCGGAAAGCCATTCAGGAATTGCAGGTGTGTGTCTTTGTCTCATACGTGCAGATCTTTTTAACAGCATATTTTAACACCTTTTTGAAATATTTTTGGTGTGTCCTGTTGTTACAGTTTGGAAACGAGAGTCTCAGTTTAAAACTGGAGGAGCAGATCAGTGAAAATGAGGATTTGAGGAACAAGTATGGGTTTTGATAAATGTGATGATTTACCAAATCAGATTTTTACATATGTATTATAATATAAGCAATTTAAATGTTGTATTCATAAAAAAATGTATATGTTAAATGCAGAAGCAATGCAACCAGGAACCTGTGTAACATACTCAAGGACACTTTTCAGCGGTCAACTGAGAAAATGCATGTCTGTAAGTAAAAAGAGCTTTCCATATACATGACATATTGCTAAGGTGCAGAAAATACTGACATTTTATATCATAATGTATATTTTGTAGTTGAATCTGAAAGAGAAGAAACTCATCAGCTTTTTCTGGAAAACAGTGAAAGTATTCAGGTAAACTCATGGACATTTGTCATGATAATCAAATATTTCCTTTTTATGATAATTTGGGCAGTTTGCAAGTAATTTTTTTTTTTCTGTAGAAACTGATTGAAGCATTCGAAAACCTTTGTATCCGAGTAGAAGCTGATCAAGAAGAATTGCACAAAGGTATGATTTTCACCACAGTGAAATTCCACAACTCGGAATCTTAATACTTTTTAATGCTTAAATTCATTATAATTTGATCCTGAAACAACATCGAAGACTATATCTATCTTAAAATGACATGGGGTGTATTATCGTTAAACAAGCAAGATAACCATGTCCAATAGCAAGAGAATAATTTTTTTTCTTTTCCCAGCGAAAGAAGGCTTGCTGCAGTTTGAAGTACTGAAAGAGAACTATAGTCAAGAATACAACATGAAGGAGGAAGAGGTTTGTGGAAAAAAAAAGATTCATGTATTATGTTTCACCACAAACTTTGAAAGAAGACTTGAGGGATGATGTTGCATTGACAGGTTGCAGAGCTCCAAACTAAACTTGGGAATAAGGAAAATGAACTACAGAAACTCCTGCTTGACCTGCATGAAACCCAGAAGCACTGCAAACAACTTCAGGAGGCTACAAGTAAGATCTTGATTAGATAAGATAAGGTTCTTGTAGGCGTTTGCAATTTTGTGTGCAGTGATTCAGTACTCTTGTTTAACTGCTTATTAAAATGACAGAAATAAGAATAGCAATCCACTGAACCCCAAATGAACTCCACTGTTCTTTTAAGTCAAGTTCAGAAAGGAGAATTATTAGAGATTTTGAGATTATGACATATCCAGTAATATTCTGCTCTTACAGATCAAAAAGATGAACTTCTCAGAAGCTCAGAAACCGAACTGAAATCTCTTCTTCAAAAACTGCAAACTGCCGAGCATCAGCGTGAAGAAACTCGGGTACTCACCTTTCTTATTTTGAGATTATTGTCATTTTTGGTGATACTTTGCTCTGTTCTGTCTGTGTTGATTAAAACATTACCGCTCCCTCAAAGAAAAATCACGAAGCCATTGCTGCAGCGTTGAAACAGAGTAAAGACGAATGTGCACAGATCATCCAAAGCAAAGACTTAAGCTTGCAGGAGATGGGCAGAGTTAAGATTCAACAAGCGGAGAAGCTGGAGCAGATTCAGACAACGGCTGAAGAGCTACAGAGCTCATTGGCATTAGAGATGCGGAGGTATATTAACTTTTGGAAATGTAATTTTTTTTTTGACAATCCAGTTTTTACTTGTGTCATTACATTCTTTGTTTTGACTCATTTTCAAGGGCTCAAGAGCTTGAGGAAAAACTCATGGCAAACAATGAGGAACTTGAAATTAGGATCGTCATTTTACGTAAGTCCCACTGTGTGAAACGTGTTTTATTTGACGCTCTGTCCCGCTGAACAAAAACTGTTTTACTCTACAGGTGAGTCCCAGGAGCAGAATGCCAAGAAAGATGGGCAGATCAAGATCCTTGAAAATGAACTGGTAAAGAGTTATTTTAAATAAGTGTCTTTTTATACACTTCTATAAACATTTCAGTAAAGACAACATATGTATTGTTGATCTTAGGACATAAAATTAAAGTCCATCGAGTCCATGAAGGATAAGGTTAATGTAACTGAAGGCAGAGTGGAGGAACTGGCTGCTGAGCTTTCAAAGAAAACTGAAGAAGTCCAGCTATTTGAGGTAAAAAAAAAAAAAACTTTATCTCAGGAAAAATATGTTTTTTTGATGGTCTGATATAGATTCCTTACAGATACCTTATTCATGCGTGACTTATTCTGTCGCCTTATTCTTGAAGAGTGAATTGGAGATGGCCTCTGCTGAAAACTATCTACTGAAGACCGCTTGTCAAGCTGTGGAGAAAGCACAAGAAGATTTAAATACGAAATCCACTGTGACTGAGGTTTTTATGCGATTTTTATTTTCTTGCTCCACTCCCCTTTTGGGAAATTTGTTCCTATCATAAAACAGTGTGTGGTGATATTGTGTGGTTTTTTAATACCCTCAGCTCAAAGTGCAGGAGCTAGAGGGGCAATTGTTTACTGAGAAGAAGAAAAATAAAGAAGAGATGGAGCAACTGAGGAAAGAAGCCACGCACCATAAGTGAGTTCATAACATCCAGCCAGTCTAAAACATTGGCTCATAGAATATTAAATTAAACAGTTAAATCTTAATGTCTAATGTTTCATTTTTGTCGTTTTAAGAGCAAAGCATGAAGAGCTATTATCCTACTTTGATGAGCTTCAGTCTCAGAAGATGGCCATTCAGCAGCAGTTGGAGAGTGGATTGTCTAATGCAAAAGCTACTGAGGCAAATCTTCATTAATTATCCATTCAAATGGGATTTTCTTTAGTCAATTATCATGTGTGGATGTTTGGGTTGACTGTTGGATTGTTTCATTTATTTGTTACTTAAAACTTCTGATTGATCAGGAGCGTGAGGAGAAGACTGCAAAGCTCTTAAAAGAAATTCAAAGACTCAAGGAAGAAAACTTATCTTTAAAGTGAGTTCACAGGTTAGAAACAAAATCATTTTTTGAGAATGTGTAGTTCTGAAGATTAAGAATTGTATCCTTTTGTTAAATAGCAAAGAAGTCAAGTCTTTTAAAACCAGAGTCCAAAGGAAATGTCACCAAACTGAGACCCTGCAGAAGAAAATTGAAGAAAATGTAAGAATAGTAACTAGACCAAACATCAATGAACAAACAATCTTATAATGTTCTGAAAGTACTAACCAAGGAGTTTTGCTTTTTGTGTTTAGTGTGAACTTCTGCAGGAGAAAGTTTCAGAAAAAGAAAAGCAGATAAAAACTGTGGAAGCAAAGGTGATTTTAAAATACTGAAAATGTTTTATTTTTTAACATTTACTGGAACCAACAAGAAATACTTTGTTTTTCAGTTGTGCAACATCAAGAGAAAGGTTGAAGTTAAACTTAAAGCCCAGGAGGAATACCAGAAAGAGGTGTGTGATACATGTGAAACTGTAGATGTACAATACTATAATATAAAGTTTCATGTTTATTTAGCTTAACAGTTTGTATCTGCACACTTGTATCTTTTCAGAATAAAACACTCAAGAAACAAATAGCAAAGGAGATAATGAAATCCAGTCAGCTTGAAAATGTGGTATGGTGATGTTTTTAATTTTCCAGTTTGTAATATTCACATATAAGATTTCTAACTAATGAGCATTGCCTTGTTAAATGTACGTCCTTACTTTTGTCTTTAGATCAGCGATCTTAAGGAAGAGTCCCTGAGCCTTAAAAAACTGAATGAGAAAGACCATCAGAAATTGCTCAAGGATCTTGAGAATAAATCAACCTTAACAGCAGAACTTGAGAATGAGGTTACTTGATGATGTCATGTTATGTGCCACATTTTTAGCTGCTCAGAATAAACAAAAAAGAATAAGGGCATCTTGTCTCACAGGTACAGAAGCTGAGAGTAACAGCAGCAGAGGCCGTCAAGAACAAAGAGGATGTAGAACTCAAGTGTCAGCACAAGATAGCAGATATGGTCACACTTATGGAGAAACATAAGGTAAAGCTATTGTAAGTATGTTGTGCCTGAAAAAGATTCCAAACACATGATGCATTGAAAGATATTTGTCTTTGTTAGAGCCAATACGACCGCATGGTTGAAGAAAAGGATGCAGAGCTGGAGGACAACAAGAACAGAGAGTTGGAGGCTGTTGAGCAAAGGAAATCCCTGGTAGGAAGTTAAAAACTTAAATTAACATATGTCCCAATTTAATAACAATTAGATAATGAATCAGTTGTATCCTAATATTTCCAAAATGAATTTCTTAAAATAAGGAGTTGGATCTCTTGAAGCACAAGACTGAATATGATCAACTCAAGAAAGAGCTGAAGACAGAAACAACAAAGATGGTATGACCTGGTTTGAATCAATTTTATTGTTTTATTTTTACTGAAACAGGAAGTGAAATGATACATTTTTTTTGTTATTAGGAAAAATTACAGAAGGAGCTCGCTGATTTAAAGAAAGAAATGTCATCAATGAAATTCACTCCACTGTCAGAAGCAAGGACCAAGCAGGTATAGCCTCAGTCCAACTGCAAATATATTACTGAGGGTGTTTATTTGTCATCACTTAACCAACCAAGTTCTGATCAAAATTCTAGTCACCTGCTTCAAACCATAAACAAGGAAGATGTTCAGAGACTCCAAAAGAAAGTTCTTCAAAGAGACACGTGTTCGACTTCTCCAAGACCAGGAAAACTCCCTCATGCAGCACAGACGATGGAAGTGCTGCCGTTATGAAGAGCGTGGTGAGCTTACTTTAATGCTTTTACATAGGTGGAGCAGATCGTCTCATTTCAGGTCAATTCAGGAGTTGGAAAATAAATTGGGTACTTTGTAATCATAAGCAGCACTGAGATTTGAATTGGCATGGTCAGGTTCTGAAAAAATTTCATTAAAATTCTTTGTATTGACTCACCTGTAGCTCATTATCATTCCATCATCTCACAATCAATGGTTTCTGTTTTCAAGGAACCTGACACTGAATCTCTCAGATCATCATTTGGAACAACACCAAAGAAAAGGGTAGGCGCCAGTTAAATATCTGTCTAATAATTCCAGAAATCTCTGTCAATCTGTCTGTATGTGAATGTATAACTCGAGAACTGTTTATCGGATCAGCTTCTTACTTGTAATGTGTATTATCAGGGGCCAAGGAAGTACAGTGTCGAATTTTGAGCAATTTGTACAAACAATAAATTAAATTAGGGCTGGGCAATATGACTTAAATCAATATCACAATTATTTCAAACTTTTACCTCGATAACAGCTAACACTGCACTAGTGTTAATAAAGTAAATAGAGTGATTAAGTTTAATCTTTATCTGTGAACGTAAGCGTACATGATATTTCAAATTGATACGGATTTTGCTTCATAGGATTTTCACAACGACGACTCAAAACCCTCTAGAACTATGACCTACAAGGTTGGCAGAACATCAAAGATCAAAGTAATGTACAATATTATTCTGACATTTTCCCAAATGAATAAAAATATCAGTGACCTTTGCTGACATTTACTCTCTGAATTCCCTTACAGTCCTACAGAATAAGAACACCACCTTCTGATGAAATAGCAGCATCCTGGAAGAAGAGTACCATCGAGCTCGACCCTAAGTCTGACAGCTCTGATCATAATGATCTCCTGGTGAGTGGGTTTTTTAATAATTTTACTTTTTAATTTACAGAATCAATCCAATAATGTATGATTTCATATTTGATTATCTGTGCAAGATCACCAGAGGAGCTTATTTCACCTGTTTCTGTTTTTTCTCTTTGACAGACCTTTGCAAATGAATCTGCATCTGTTTTTCCTGCTTCACACTGCAAACTCAACACCTTCAAAAAGGTAACACATTACATCTTGCTGTTGTGCTACTTAAAATGATCTGTATGCATGAAAAAAGAAATAAGAACTCTATTTTATGTGAAAACTTGGATCAACGTTTTTTCTGATTCAGAGCCCCGTCACTAAGTCACCAGGGAACTTCCTGAAGTTGGCTGCAATGAAGAGGATGAGAGATGCTGGTTGGACCGCGGTGACCAGCTGTGACAAGAAGAAGAAGAAGAACAGCGAGAAGATCTTTGCATAAGTACACAAGTTAAATGACAGATAAACTGTATTAACATAGGTTTTGTAGTTGATACTCCAACTTTAATAATATGATATATAATATCAAATAGACAGTAGTAATAATAATAATAAGTTTATTTCTTTACATGTTCAAGAAGTGTTGTTCTGGGTCAGTTAAACAGTTCTGATGGGTGTTCATATTCTATCCTTTAAACCTCTGATGTAACCTGATGTGTTACTGATGTTTCTATGTTTAGTTTATATTGTTGGTATGGGAAAAGGTGTATGAGTTATGTTTTACTATCCTAACATATTTATTTGTTCTAGTATTGACAGTGATATGAGTAAAAGTGTTCAAATTGATCAGGTCGGCTCTTGTTTGAATGTTTTCATCATTTTCCCGTCCTCATGAAGAATTTTCTCTTGAAATTGGGAGATGAGGAAACTTGGTTGTGTGTAGATGATGTTTTAAACGGTAGTTAACTGTCTCTGCTTATTGAAGGAACTCGAGGCGAAACTGAGATTGGTCTTCTGGGACTGTAGGTACATTATCATCGATGGGATGTCCTTCATAAAGTCCTCCAGAGATTATGAGCGTATCGTCATCTGCTACAAAAGCATCTGTAAAATATAAATGGGTATTATTAACTAATCATACATAGAATAGTTCGTATTGATCCTGTGGTGAACAGGGAGCTCCTTACCCGGGAAGTCAGAGTTGTTTAACGGCTGATGCAAGTATTGGATTCTTTGTCTGCATCTGTGATACATGAATATAACCAGTGACAGGGCAAAAACTCCCAGAACGACGCTGAAGACAATCGTCATGTTCTCTTCTGAAATGTTTAGTCCTAAACCTGGAAGCACAGTAACATAAAAGGTGATAGAAGTTAATAAAGACATGGATTAATCAAACTCTCATGATTAAGGCATTGAACCGGATATGTACCTTTGGTGATTCTGTCCACTGGATGTGAAGTTGTTTTAACAGTGCGAGATGAATTTGCACTAGTAATCTCTGTAGTACCAGGTGTACTTGTGTAACCTGTTGTGGTCTCACTCGCTGGCACTGTCAACACAGTTAATGTTGGAGTGTGAGCGGCAGGCGTGCTGGTCGCCAGGGAGGAACTGTTTGTCAGAGGAGTCATGATGGTAGTTGACTGAGAAGTCTGCGGGTGGATTGTGGTTTTTTCGAGCGTTTCATTGTCCCAGGTTGTGCTGCTGAACGGGGCTGTTGTGTCTTCAGTCACGTTTGAAGCAACAGTTGTGTTTACACTGGAGGTCGATGACATTATTAATGCAGTTGTTTGTGTCATGCTTGAGACAGAAGGTTTCACTGTGGTGACTGGGAAATCCCCTTTTTCTGTTTGCGCCACAGCAAAAGGACTGGCCAAAAGGCAACAAGTCAGAGCAGCAAAGAGGGGATCCATGTCACTGAGCCCTGAACTGGAAAACAAAAACAACACGTGCTGAAAACACTTTCAGGATAAATGCTATAAATGCTGCTCTGATGGAACATCTCTCTCCGTTATTGTAGAAAGATTCAGTCTAAAAAAAGAGTTTTGCTCACTGGTGACATAATGCAGGGAAAACAATTATTCAATCACGGTACTGTGTGTAAGAAGATCTCATTCTTATTTACGTATTTGCAGCAGGAAACAACTGTACACACTGAACGTGACTTAGCACAAACCAAGAAATTACATAACAGCCGACTCGTATCTTTTGTGGAAACATTTCTTATCTCCCTCTCGTGTGAAATTTTGATAAAGTACAAACTTTAAAAGACTTTTACATAGTTCATTCACTGATTTTAAAAACATCAAGGCTCACCTCGTGTCCTCAATTTGACTGAAAACAGTCACTTCTTTCACTTCTTTGGCCGCAGTGAGTCTGCCTTCATGTCCTGGTTGACTCTCCTCTACTTCCTATAACCATGAAACGGCTGAGTTGATTCGCTGGCATGGTGGCAGGTAAAAGTGGGCAGGGCAGTGCTTTGTAAACTTCCTCTTTTGTGTGTTGCCATGGAGACAAAGGGCACGGTTATAACCTAGACCAAAGCTCAATCTCTCTTCTTCTCTCTCTCTCGCTCTCTCTCTCTCGCGCTCTCTCTCGCGCTCATTTCAAATACATTTTGCAGCCCAGAGTAGAACGAGCTGCTTTCTCAAAGCTTTTACTACAGAGCACATGTATATTTCTACACTTGTTTTTGTGTATTTTCTTTCACAAACATACATTTGAATACAGTAAACAGTTTGTACAAAATATTTATTAAAAAGTACAACTTGGGACTTTTTTGTACATGTTATTAATTTGGGTAAGAAAAATTCTGATAAAAAGAACCAGACAATGAACATATAGTCAGAAACATAACAAATGGGCAACAATCATTTTCCAGTGTGTCAGAGTTAGAATGAAGTGAAGCAACTCAGCTTTCAGGGAGAACAATGGAAGAAAGACAACAGATCGCGGTGTGACGTGTCTGTGTTGCTTCAGGTGCCCTTTTGCCCTCTATTGTTCTGATAACATTTACAACATATGAAATCTCTGTTTTTATTGATGATGTTTTTGAAGAACAGTGCAGAACATTTCTCTGCTATGTCTTGGTTTTTAATCACCTCAGGTATTAAGCAGCATAAGTGCACTTTTTACATTTTAATTGTATTCGATACGTTACGATAAGTTCAATTCCAGTGTTTGAATTTTTTTTCACAAATATTTAAATAAAAAATCTCATTCTCATATTCAGCAGCATGTTGAAACATAAATATGCACAAGCAGGTAGTAGAGTAATTTTCTTTCTTTTTTATCAGCACAATTAATGTAGAAAAATAAAAATGAGAATTCTCCATGATGAACAGTACATTGACAGAGCTTCATTACAGCTTGGTGGATTTTTCAGCTTTGATTTTCAAATCGAAGTCGTCTGCTTTCATATGAAACTCTGTTGAAGCCTTTTCTGTGACATCTGACACCTGTAGTGGGTTAAGAACATTAAGAAGCACATCAATACCATGACAGACTCCGCTGTAGTGTTGTGAGAAACATTGACCTGACAAAAGAGACAACATCTTACCTTTGATTTATTGAAGAAGCTGAAGCAGAATAGGTCCCTCCTCCTCACAAACAGATCAGAGTTCAGCTTCTCTTGTTTACATCCACCTTAAGAACAGATTTATATGCCAGTAACTGTTTTACAGTAGGTTATAACTTGAAACATTTACAGGAGAGCAGCTTTACTGTTTCTCTGCAGTGGAAGTGGAGGGTAAAGCATATCTCACCTGTGATCATGCTCACCAGCAGACCACACGCAACTGTGGTCAGTGTGCCCAACGGACACAGGTAGAGGTAGGAGATGGAGTACCAGGAGTCGGCCAGAGCTGGTCTGAAACTGAGGAAAGTATTTGAGTTCCCTGGTCAAACTATTCCTTTAACTTTATAAATATTACTGGTGGTGATAACATCGTCAAAAGCATGTTTCAGCAGTTGCAGCTGAATTTGAAGTCCTTTATGAAGAAGTATAGCAAGTGATTGGAAGAGATTTGATTTGACTCTCGACATTAGATTAAATCATGCTCACCCTGATGTTCTACAATTGTGACACCAACATTAAGGCAAACATTCTGATGTTTGAACTGAAACTGAAGCTTTGTCAGTGAAAAAGTATTTTCAGATCTAAATTTAAGTGTTTGCATATTCAGTCAGCATTAACTTACTAACTGTGACTGTCATGTTTAAACGTGAGAAGATGAACCTTTTGTTTTCTGTCACATGACTCACCCAGGCTGTCCGGTCACAACCGCACTGGTCCAGGGAGCTATCGTTGAAGAGTTGTGGCTCACTGTGCTGTTGCAGCCCACAGTGCTGACATGGAGAGGATTCGTCTTCTCATCTGTCGGTGGGTAAATCTGGCCTCCGATCCCCACCCACAGAGTCAACACAAGACCAATGATCATTCCCAGTAGTCCTCCCTGAAAGGTAAACATGGCTGCAGTCAAATATTTCACATACATTTTTCTTAAATCAAAGCTTCTTTGTAATGTCAGGGGGCGCATTTGTTCTGGTAAATACTCAAGTAAATACCCACCACTGAATTAGATGTTCGGAAAAGCATGCCCAGCAAGTAAAGACCAAGAAGAGGCCCGCTGATCATGCCAAATATGGACAGAGCTGCCTGAAAATAAAAAAATTGTCAGGAGAATTGTAGTTCCTTGTATTCACCCTGGGATGGTGCTGTAGAGCTGTAAATTTGTTTTACCTGCAGAACACTTCCCATCACAGAGGCAACTCCAGCCATTCCGATACACAGGACTCCATAGAACACACCTGTGGAGACATGAATTATACATGTCATTATGAAACTGAAATTAAAAGAACAATCTGATCACAACTTCAAAAGTTTGAGCTACTTGAGCCAAATTCTGCACATGAAAATTACAAAAATAAATTTTTACAGAGTTTGAATTGTGCAGCAGTTTTTTTATTTTATTGAAATCACTATCCTGCAATAGCATAATAATCTAAACGCATTCATAAATCTTAACTTACAAAAGCCCTAAATATTTGTTCTTTTCTTCGGGCATATACGCAGTAATCTTAGTGATAATATTGTTTTGAGCATGTTGTCGGGAGACAGTACATCCTTAGCAATAAGTAGACTTGTTGTGACAGTGTTGTCTGTGCAGGAATCTGTTTAATCACTTTTCTTTTGTAGAGTTGAAGTGCCGGAAATAATTCTGGTCCATGTAAATTTGCTAGAATAATCACGAAACAGGGATTTAATTGGATTTAATGTGGTATTGTGTCATTCTCCCTCACACAAACCATTGCTTGAGTTATTACCTGTGTAAAACTAAGAACATTGTTGTATTATGTAAAAACAACATGACAAACCAAATGTCTTTATTACACAACAGAGAGTGTTGAATTATTTCCTGAGGCTGTATTCTGAGATAAATGCCGTTGTGGAGCAATGCTCTTGATCTCATCCTATCTCAAGTTCATTGAACTTCTGTGTTCTTGTCTGCACATGTTTGTCTTATTTAATCTACCTGATGAAATCCTGCACATTATTGAAACAGTCACTGTTTTTGCTTTGAGAAGTCTGTTTGTCTTGTGTTTCTGTAATGAACTAGATTTTATATTTGTCTTTGATTCGGTTGTAAATTGTGAAGCGGAAATGATCAGTGTTTAAATGATAAGATAGCTTTCATGGCAGTCAGTAGAGCACCTCCCTCGACCAAGACCAACAGTCTCCGTAAATTCAATCATGCTGCACCAAATTGCACTTACTTGATCAGTCCTCTAAATATGCCTGACGTTTCATCAAGATCCATAAATCATTTCCCATGGAAATAGTGGAAAACACCAAAGAACTAACAAGCCTATCTCTCTTTGTTAAAGAAAGTGGGAGACAAACAAGTTCTGCCTAAATCTGTTGAGTCATTTATTGCTGATAAACAAATAAACAAACCAACTAAGCAACGAACAAACAAACAGATGGAAAACACAACCTTCTTAGAGGATGTAATTATAGCTTGGTCTCTGCTGTCCTCAGCCATAGGAGTGTCTGCTGTAATTCATGGTGATTACAGCATGTATTCATAACAAGAATTAACTCTCCTTCTCATTTCCTTTCACTTCTCTATTGTACATGTTTTTTTATTTTCATTCTCCATCAAAGTTTTTTATTCAGAACTTACTCAGACCCATGTTCATCCACATCACTTGTTTCTCTGTGAGGTTTTTAAACACAGGGAGGATAAAGTCTTCCACAGTGACGGCAACCATGGCGTTAATACTGGAAGACACCGTGCTGAAAAACAACACAGTAAGACCGATTCATTTCAGATCAATTTAAATGGTAGTTTAGATTAATGTCATGATGTTTAGTACTCAGCAAGCCGATGATGATTCAGGTATTGCTCACACACTATCTCTTTACAGCTGTAGCTTAACAACGAATGTATTTCCTCTTCAACACCTGACTGATGTGAAATAATACAGTTGTCCTTCTTCTCCAGGCCTCACCTCAGAGTCCCGCTGTATGCAGCAGCCACAAACAAACCAGGGATTCCAGGGTAGATCGCCAAAATATCCATCACAAGGTAGGGCAGCAGCTGGTTTGCAGACACAAACCATTTCACTGTTATCTGTAACTTTTTTACACAATGTACAGCAGGACGGCCGTTTTATGGTGAGTTAATAGACTACCTGGTCAGGGGTGCTTATATCACCGTTTAGAAGAGGGTCACATTTCTTGTAAATGGAGTACATGGTGAGGCCAGAAAACACAGCCAGACTCACAGTTACCCACAAGCCGACCATGTTCACATACAAAGACCTGAGAGATGAAAAAGAAGAACTTGTCAGTGCACGAACCCTCGCTCACACTCTGTAATATACTGCTGGACTACGTCACAGGAACGCTCACATCTTGGCGTGGCCCAAGGTTTTGCAGGAGATGTAGCGCTGCACCTGGGACTGGTTGATGGAGTAGATAGACACCCACATCACGCTGCCTCCGACTACAATGGTCCAGAACGTGTGTCTCTTCAGAGGATCTGTGTCAAAGCTGTAGTAAAGATCAACAACACAAAAGAATGCGGAAAGAGACTTTGAGGGACATTAAACCATAAACTGACAATAATGTGTCACATTTAAGGCAACAAGAGGTTTTCAGCCCCGCCTGTTGGTTTGTTTGTGAGCAGGATTACAACTCAGCTACAGAACAGGTTTCCAATAAACTTGGTGGAAGGATGGGACATAGGTCAAGAATGAAGCCATTACACTTTGGAGCAGATCCAAGATTTTTTGTTTTTTTCACTTTAACGAGATTTATGTGAGCCTTATTTGACATTTGCCTCTATTTCTCAGGAAAGAATTTGTGGATCTGGTTGAAAAATCAGGCATATGAGGGGACTCATATATATGATTGTGGACAATTTCGTGCAGATCCAAATAAAAATATGAACTTAGTAAATTTAAATGTGGTTTTAAAAGGGGAGTGCAGACCAGTTGCGTTACAGAAAATGATTAAAAAAATTAGATGTAGTTTGTTTCCCTGTGTCTGCAAACTCAGAAGACAGTAAAAACTCTGATTCAGGAAGCCGCAGCCGTCAAACAAACTCCACTAACTAACTGAGTCTACTTGTGCACTTACTCAAACGCCTCCAGTCGGCCTCCTTGGCGGGAATCTTCCCAGATATTGGTCAGGCCTCCCTGCAGTATGGCTCCTCTGGCTATAACAGCCACAAACCCCGACAGCATTATCACCATCTGAATAACATCTGTCCAGATCACTGCTTTCAGGCCGCCCTGAAAAAAAATCCATGTTAGACATGGTTGAGTATTTACGTGCACTTTCTTGAAATTATTTTGAGAGTCACAGTCATGTTACAATGTTTATAATTGTATATCATCATGTAGACAATGGTTGCAGTTTCAGGAACAACAAACTCAAGCAGGTGGATGATGGTGTCCATAAAAACCTGAATGAACCTGGAGGTTTTTGATTGTTGTCCATGATTATTATCAGCACGCAAAACACTTATGGTGCACAGATTATGTATTTAATCCAAAAAATGATATTCTGTAGAATGTACAGTACAAACCAAAGTGCAGTAGAGGATGCAGACTGCTCCGGTCGCCACCAGCACTCCCCACAGATTAAGTCCAGTGACTATTCAGGAAGGAAAAGCTTGTTATTCATATATTCAAATGCTGTATATAACTTTGATCTTTTGTTACTTGATGCTCAATTTAGGTTTGCTCTTCATTTATTGCAAGTAGGACACGTACATTCTTAGGTTTAACTTTGTGTAGAAGACAGAAAGAAAAATACTGGCTCAGGTTATGGTCCGTTGTTGTTGTAAATGGACTAAAATACATTTTCATGAAAAACTCAAAATTTGTATTTGTGAAAGACAAGTCTGTGGTGAGTTTAAAAAACTTTAAAAAAGTGAAGCAGAGATTATCTTAAGTTCATAAGTGAATGACTAAAATAAGATAGATAATAATAAGAACATAACTAGAATCTTTCACTGCTTCCAAATGTCTCTCTTTGTGATTATTTTGCATAAATGCAGCCGAAATCACAATCAGTCTTTAACTTATGTGAATGGTATGTACGGAATAATTTTTTCTATGAATGTACACCGTCAAATTTCTCATTCTCATCATGCAGATTTACTTCACATGTTTAAAAATGTTGATTTACTAAGTTTGGGATCGTGTTCGAACGTTACAAGCTAAAATCTTATTTTGAGCCCTTAGAAAAACAAGGAGCAGTAAGAAGTAGTAGAAGTAGTTTTGTTTTGTGAGCTGTTCTTCACCGTACTTTGATTTAGTGCAAGAGCTGGAGCGTAGATTACTAAACCGGTGTACAGCGCCTGGAAAAAGATACCACCATTAGTTGATTAGACAGAAGCACAACAAGCATGTGATTCATATTCAAGAATGAAGTCAAACAGAAAGAAGCAGCTGCTGTTTACCATGTTAGATTAACCACTTTATTCATCAAGTGTTTGTTTGTACTAGTTACCGTCTGTGCGATGTACATTGACGTCCCAATTATCCGAATGGGCCGACTAAAGCGCATCCCCAGGTACTAGAAATACAAGAGACAATGCAATCATCAAACAGCTTTAAAATGATGGATTATGTTGTTTACATCTACTGGTTGAATCCATAGCTACAAAATATTAAAGCTGTTTGTTTCTTTGTTTTTGTTTCTCTCCACACTTATGTAGAAAATACATTTCTAGCAGTCGGATTCAGTACAGCCCCATGAGCCCTTTATCATCCAACTATTGTGGATTCATCTGCAGCCTGTGTCTGTTTGTGTAGCTTTTTCAAAAGAGCATGTTTCCATTATTGAGCTTTGAAATGTAATATTTGAAAGTTATTTCATGCTGCATCTGTCTTACAGACTTTGTACCATTTTTATTAATTTAGATGTCTGCGGTGCCTCACCTCGTAGGCGCTGGTTATCCCCAGTCGGTAGAAAAGCGGGACAAAGATCTCAGCGGTGATGACAGACATGATGGCATAGGAGAATCCGAAGAGCCAGAAGGCAGCTCCAAACCGGTAAGCTTCAGCAGGTGTGCCGATGACCGTGATTCCCGACATGAAGCTGGCTGTGAGGGACATGGCGACCGGCACAGCTGTCATTTGCCGTCCACCCAACAAGAACTCGGCACTGCTGGTCTCCTTGCGGCTTCGGAAGGCCTGGAAGAGACCGATGCCGGCTGCCCCCAAGATCGTGGCAGCAAACACAACATAGTCCCACACTGAGAACGTGTCCACAGGACCACCTGTACCAACCATGGTAAGTTCAGTAGAAGAAGCTTCCTTATACAATGCAGATTCACCAGGATTCCTCTATTATGCAACCTTGCTAATGTTTAATGTTCTTCCCTTTAAATTGTCCTGAAATTGCTCTCAAGTCCAGTTGTTCATAAACCAAAACAAAAATACACCCTGAAGGCAAATGTCAGAAAAAATAGAAAAAAGCTGTTCAGCTGGTCTCAGAATCTGTCAACTGCCAGAAATCAGCTTCATTCAAATTAAAAGTTTCTCCTCAAACCTTTCGGAAAGAAAAGAAAAATCCAAAGATTTCATTGTTTTTATCATCTGCTAGTTGAGAGTATCAGTTCATAGAGTCTCTCCTGCTGATAGTACAGCACAAGACTACTTCTGGTCTAGTTCACTCTGACGTCAGACTATAAACATTTCTTTACTTGAGTTAATAATCCATCAAGGACACATCGGGCTGAAGTCACCCACAATTTCAACGATAGTAAAACACGAGGATCTTATGATGTGTCAGCGCTCATTGATATTGTCTCCGGTCCTGTTTACGTCCTCAACGTTTCCTTCTAAAACTCCAGGTTACTCAGTAGTCACCGGTTAAATCAGGAATCTCTCGGGGCAGGGAGGTTTAAAGTTTAGGGTCGGCTCACTTCTCCTGCTGTCATCATTCCTGAAGCTTTACTTAACACAGCCTCCAACACAACTTCAAAGACGTTTCTCAAACTTGAGAAAAAATGTGACGACTGCAGAGGAGACAGAATAAGTAGCTTTAAAGCTAGTGCTGAAGTGTGATCACTTCTGATATTACCAACCTAATGAGGATGGTTCGTTTCATTCAAGTCATTCGAGACAGCATCAGCTCCCGTAAATTATTTGACGTTAATGAGAAATGGCTTTTACAGTTAATGTTTGTTAAGCTGAGCAGATAATGAGCAGCTAAGATGGACACTGAACTGGCTCAGCGCTCTTCATGTTTTCATGTTACAGTCATGATTTCACACTGTTACTAGTCACTGATACACCAGAGAAGGACAAGACATGCCAGCTATGTGTGTGATAAAAGATAGCGTTTATTTGAGGAGGAGTTTAGGAGTATTTTTCATAAGTGTTTGTCTGTAGGAAACTGATTCACCATGAATGAAGACAGATCAGATAAAAACTTGCAACAACAAGATAAGAAACAATCGCTAACTTCACAAGAGAGAGGTTTTGTTGACAATCATTAATCAAATATAAAGATAAGTCCCTGCTGTCTCAAGCTGTTGATGAAAAATTAAAGAACAAAAATCACGTATTGGGACGTGAATTCTGACGGCTACTGCAGTAGTTTTTATTTTCTACTGACTTAGAGATAAGATTTGACAAACACTCTCCTTTTTCAGCCCTTATCTTTTTCACATGCACACAAGACATACACAGAAATATTCTGTTAAAAGAAGTTAATTTTTATTCAAATTAGAGACAGATAAGGTTTGTTTTGGAAAATGAAGAAAAACTCAGGTTAAACTTTGACTTTTTCCGCTTCATTAAGTACACATTATTTTCAAGCAGAAGCTTTTGGGGGATGTTGTGACATCTAGTGGACACTGCTTCAGACTCTATGAGCCGGTGAAGAATCCAGTGCGTCATTCTTCTTGGTTACTGCATGACATGTGTTCATGAAAGACATTATTAATTCATGTCATTCACTTAATGGACAGGAAGTTTAGTTCTTCCTTTTCGTCACCGATAGACGATAACGGACATTTGCATAAAGGTGGATTATATAAATATCACATCACAGTTCAGACTCACAGCATCATCAGACCTGCAGGCCACAGCTCTCATTAAGGTGAGCTAGCAACCAATACTTCAGATACCAAGCATTTGATCCAGTCTGTTACGTGATTGTCGTTTCATCTCGTTGTCTCTCTTTCCCCTGCAGGTTGAAACTGATTGGAATAAAGAACATAAGTTAACATGGAGACGACTGTGTTCAACTGCTGGCTCCTTTTTCTGCTGTTCAGCCCAACTGTTCCCATGTGTTTACCCACAGACTTCACACTGTATGTGGAGAAGCCCGAGTGTGACTTCTGTGTGGCGATCAACACGACGAGCTGCATGGGATTCTGCCACTCATGGGTATGTACAAGAAAAAAAACTAAAGAAAATGTAGAGAATACTAGTTTCTATTTAGCTGGAGAGGTTGGGTCAATGTGTCAAGGATTTGAAAATAGAAAATGTGAATTATGTTGTAAAATTGCTGCTGAAATTTAAGTTTTGAGTTCAAATATAGATGAATGAATATTTCCTTTCATTTTCATTTTTACAAAAAGCCTTATCCCAATCACTTCATCTACTGCTGTGTTGACATGAAATAAAGAAGTCAGATTAAAATGAAACCATCATGGCACATTTTTCCTCACCTCCATCTCAAATCAAAACTTAACTACAATGGCATTTCTCCACCAAGGCCCAGCAGTCCTCTTATGAAACTTAAAATTCACTAGATACACATTTTTTATAGAATCTGCACCAAATTAAACACACTCATAAATATGGAACCCCTAAACATGCTTGTTTTTTGTTTTTTTTTATCAAGCTCCATAAAGGACGATGGTGAAAAATGCTGTATCGTGCAATGTTAAAGAAAGTGAAAAAAAATGTATTTCATGAGTTCTTCCTTGACCCACACCACATGATGCATGATCCTGCCAACTGACAGGCCAACAAATAAAACTGCTCAATGGAGGTTTTAATGTGCAGATGGGAAAACCTATGTTTGTGTGTGATGAGCAGGAACGCAACTTGAAGGATAGCTTTGGCCCACGCGTCGTCCAGAGAGGCTGCACCTATGACGAGGTGGCGTACCGCACGGTCGTGCTGCCTGGCTGTCCCGTCAACGCCAACCCTGTCTTCACCTACCCTGTGGCCCTCAGCTGCCACTGTGGCACCTGCAGGACCGACAGCGACGAGTGCGCACGCAGAGCCACCGTGGACAGACCGAGGTGCACCAAACCAGTCAGGCGTGTCTACCCGTTCCTCGGCCAGAGTGACTATATGTTCCCTTTGTGATTGTTTTATTTCCTTTGAATGTGTCACTGAAATGACAAAGCTGTAACCATATGATCCATGAATGTTCTGGGAAAAACCCCATCATCCTTTAGCTTGTGATGGCTACAGTCATGCCTGCACTGTGTTTACTGTCACCTATTGTACCAGCTGGTTTTATTGTGCCTGTGTAGCTCAGTGTGTCTGGGCTGCAGCTCTGCTTCTCAGTTTACTGCGGGGATTATTCCTGGTGCATATCTGTGGCAGTGGCATTATTTACCCTCTTGTATACGTGTTTATTTGTGTGTGAGTCCCAGACTTATTATGTTTACTGTGAAAGTGAATCTCTGAATGCAACTCAATTAAAGGTGAAGTCTCTAAATAGCTCTCGGACTAAGCTGTGCTTGACTTAATCACATCCTGTGCGGGACTGTGGCTTTCTGTTTGCTTCATAACAAACACAGGGCTCCTCCATGGTGGCACCTCCAGGTTCTATATTTGTCTCCACAATCATTCTGGGAAGCACATGGTTGTTTTCACACCACCTCCCGTTCAATGGATTATCGTGACTGTGTCAGACCACAGATATTTAGCACAACGTGTATAGAAGAGTCTCTGAACTCAAAACCTATATTTGTGAGATTGAGTCATTTTTGTGTCGCATCAAGTAGAGTGTAGAGTTTCTGTGTAGTTTTCCATTCTCAAAGGGACATTTGTGTAGACAGCTGGAGCTTATTTATAGCACCGGGGCTCAGTTGGAGAATGTATGATGAGTCCGTCATGTGACATCACTGTTTCATTGCTTTAATTATATTCTGTTATGTTTGTAATCATAGTTTTCTGTTGGAGACATTTTATATCAGTGTCTCTGTGGACAAATGTAACTGTTGCTTCATTGGTAGATTTTTCCTCAGAAAGAGAAAGTCTCAGTTTCATCAGCTACCATCTGTATTGCTCCACATTTCAAAAGGCCTCTGTGCCACAGATTCCTGACAAATCATAAAAGCATAATCCTTAAATCAACCTTGGGGCTGGGTGTGAGAGGTTGGATGCAGGGAAGCATGGATGGTAAACCAGTTCATCACATGCTGACACCAGTTCACACGATCCTGTAGCCTTGAAGAGGTTTGCCCAACTTCTTGCAACCTGACGCCATTAACCTTGAGAAGAGTCAGATGACAAAATTAAAGTATTGTTCCATTCTGGAATTTGTAGTCCAGTGCCTGTGTCCTCTGCTTCTTTTCCCATGAGCTATATGGGTAAGATTACCAGATTACAAGATTAGGTTCATTTTACTGGAGACGTTTGTTTATACCTTTGTTATGATTCATACATAACAGTATTTGACCTTACTGCAACCAGTACCTTCTGAATCATAGTTAAAACACGTGTATGCATAAGAGATTGTAAATATTTGTATCCATGTTGTACCATTTACCCAGAGTCAGGTGACAGTGACAGCAGGTTAAGTAAGATAGCCCTGAGGTCCCTCTGCAAAGCCATGTTTTCCGTTGTTGTTTGACCGCAGGGACAACATGGGGAAAGCTGTGGTTTAACGACTTTTTACTGTTGTGCTTCTACATTCAAGTACATTTCACCAGTTGAAGTCCAGTCTGCAAAAAGCATTGCTACAAAGCCACATTGCCGTCGACTCCAAATAAGTAATTTTGTTCTAAAATGAACAGAAAATGTTAACATCACAAGAACAAGACAATACAACAATTAAGAGAATACAACAAGTTAATTGACGTACAAAGATGTTTTCTGTGGCAACAGTTCAACAGTTTTTTAGAATTGTGTCGTCTATCCAACCATCTGATGTCTCCCTCCCTCATCCTGGGAGTTCCAGATGGACATGAACCTTGTGCTTTATCTGGTGTGACTTACTTATGTCCCTGTTTTAAAGAAAATTAAATAAGATACATGGTCTCTCCTGTGTATTCTGGGTCTTACCCAGGCTCCTCTGCCAGTTGGATGTTCCCAGAAAACTTCCAATTAAAGGTGCCCAAGAGACATAATGTATAAAATATATGATATAATTTTCATCAGGTCAGGAATGTTCATTAAAATGTTCTCATTATAAAAGATCTGTCTGGTGTGGTATGACTCTACCTGTAAATCCACATAACTGGAGGGTTATGCTGTATTCTTCTGTCAACAGTTGACCCAGCATGACTCTAAAATCATGAGACTGTTATGGTACAATAGTTTGAATTCCCCCTGTCGAAGTGTTTTGAAAACCATAATACCCCCACAGATAAAGTGGAATTTGCTTTCATCAGCACTCCGGCAGAACCCGCCATGTGGTGCAGACACCAATCACTCAGTCATTCAGACGCACCGTACCCCTTTGTTTGCGTTGTGTTCATTCAACTTGAAAAAATGTGGGAATTTTTGAGCTATGCTATTGGCATAGCTGCCGGGAGGCCAGCGTTGATCTGTCGGTCGGTCGGGACATCCCTGTCATTCTAGACTGATCGTCTGACTTTTCCAGCAGGTTCACATTTTTTACTATGACTATGACTCCTGGCTGCATTGCCATGAAATTAGGTATATCTAATGTGCTCTGACATTGTGCTTTGTTGAATCCTTGACTTTACTTGTAGCGCCTCCAGCTGGTAAACATAATGAATTCTTATGGCTTTGGTGACTTTTCCTCTAGCAGCACCCTATGGTGCATGGTGTCTCAACAGCTTGAAAGAATTTGAAATGTTGTTAAAATGATCATGTTTCTCTTTGGAGGAACTCTGATAACTTTGGTTACAAATGTTTTTTTCTGTCCTGCAAATTTGAATTCGTCCTGTGAATTATTTTACAACCAAATATCTGTAAAACTATTAACATTTCCAGCGTCCACTCCTGGCTTGCCAAGACGCTAACCTGATAACCTAACATGTGTTAGCATTTAGCTCAGCATTTAGCTCGCAGGGCTACTAGAAATCCTAGCAGCTAGCACGGCTTTAGACTTCCAAAGACTATTTGAATGGATACTGTTGGAAAGTCATATCTGCACCCGTTACCCTGAGGTCATGCACCTCCTCAGAAAGTTAATATAATGCATGATGCCAATGATTGGACCACATGGTTGTGTGACTTGTCCGTGTCTCCTTAGCCAAACAAATAACCCAAACATGACCTATTTCTGCCTCAATAAACCTTGTCATCTTTTTTTAACACTGTAATGCAACTTTTCAGCTTCAACTATGAACTGGCAGAAAGAAAATGTCTGTGGTTGTAATTTCAACAAGTACCTTCTTGCCTTTTGCTACCCACCCAGTTATTTTCAGTTGGCTAATGCTTGGTTGTGTGAGCACCTGTAGTTACAAGAGTCTTGAATTCAACAGGCTTTGTTATAGTCTGTGTTCCCACGTCAATAGATATGTTTCTGACCTTTATTTGTCTAAGGTTGACTGTGTTGCATTTACACAGTGGCACAAAATGAGACGCCTCATCCAGCAGATGCATGTTACACTGCAGCAGTTCAGAGTTAGATGTGACTTGCTTCGAGGACACGTTAACGATGCATAATGAGAATGGGATGAAACTTGTCTGGTTCCACACCCACGTTTATCCTCCAATGGTGGAAGAGGCACTCACATACTTCTTTAGGGCTGCATGACAGGGCCAAGAAGTAAATCAAGATAAAAAGATTTCAAATTATTGGATGTTGATAGATAACACAATCGATGTCTCTTTGTTATTTTAAGTGTTATTTCAGAGTTTTGCTCTTGGGTGAAGATTGTGGTTTGAAACTCACAGAGAATGACAGACACTTATTAAACAGCATTTGATAGTACAGAACATTAGACGAATCTGAGTTTGATGATTATGGGTTATACCACCTAACTGTGCATGTACGACATTATATTGAACCTTAGTTATATTTCTACTTATTAAATATTGTGATAATTAATTATACAGTTTTATTTAGACATTAGATCAATGACTTAACATTGTTTTCACCTTCAGTTTCTAGCTTTCTTTCTTAAGTTTAAAAGTACTGGTTTGGATCTTTTCATTATTTACATTTTACTGATTGCAATGATTGAAAAAGTCACAAGATTATTGACTGAGAATAAATGTTAGCTGCTGCCCTGTCTTTATAATGTTGGTGCAGAATCAGGCTATAAAAAACTCTGTGATGTTCTGTTTGTGTAACTTTCCACCGATGAGACAGAGCTGCAAACATCTGGACTAAATAGAAAAATCCAGAACAGTCCACACACGAATGATGTCATGGAGCCACAGAGCTCAGCGTCTGCAGTGATCTTAATGCCATGATGCTCTCACAGACTCACAACGACTCCAGGATCATCGTGTTGGACTCTGGTAGTAAACAGTCCCGACGCCTCCGCGAGGAAAACCCCTGATTCCAAACATCGGACTTTGAAAAATACTTTAAAAACTTCAGAATGAGAGAACAATGGTGTCTTCCACAGTCAGTGCCGCACCATCCGTTTTGACTGACGCGTCTATCCTCCACTTAAACGAGGAGGCGGGTCCAGCGCAGCCAATCAACACCCGGCATGCAACACTGGCTGAATGCTGATTGGTGGAGGACTCGCCTGGCATTGTAGACAGGGTGTGTATGTGTGCGCGAGCCCCGCCTCCTCCGCCCTCATAAAGCGCAGTGGAAATTTCCGTCCTGATCTCAGTTCTCATTCAAACCTCTGGACCCGGACCATCGTCTCAGGAGACCCTCCAACTATCAGCGAATCCTCCCGGTGAGTGTGAGCTCTGGAGCCACAACGAGAGCAGCTTGTTCTCTTTGCCCCGCGAAGTTTTCTACGGTAGCTCGCTTGTTCTCTTTTAGCAGCGGTATTGTTCTGGGTGTGTGTGCTAGCTAGCTAACGGCCTGCTAACCGCTATCAGCCGTTATATGTGCTAACTTCAAACTTCTGAAAAAACGCGGAAGAACATTTGATTTCAACAACACTTGATTTAAAACCACTGTTTGTGTGCAGGGAAGTGTGTTTGCGTAGATTTTTTTTTTTTTTGGCGTGACTCCAGATAAAACGAATGAATTGTTCTGAGGGAGAATATTAACTTTAATGGTGTTAAAAAGCTTTTTCCTGCAACAAGTGAAATCATCCTTTAAATCAAAATGAACCCGGTGCGTGTTTAACTCATTGATTTGCATTGTTACGTACAGATTCACTTTCGTTACGTGCACATGCAGCTACAGGGACTCTTTCGCAAATGTATTGAAGGCGCTGCATGCCCATGTAAGGTGTTCCGGTATGTGAAGTACGACACGCCCACGCGCTGTCCAGCTCATGAGTCGTGGTCACGTGACAGTGAGGCAGCTTAGTGGGAGGGATCTAAGTGTATTTAAACTGAAAACCTCTCCTTTCATCCTGAGATCACAGACTTGTGTCCTTATCTCTCTGAACAGAACTCTGCTCATCGCGTTCACTGGAACTCACTTGAATCCGCATCTCTCAGTTTCTGCATCTTCGCTTCATCGTCAACAATCTCAAGGTCGTCATGTCTCAGCAACACCTCAGGTGAGTTTTTGTTTTCATGTCGTTGGAAATTTAGCTTTAGATCCTCCATCCTTCATCTGTGAAGTTAATTTCCTACTCAGCAACATGACATCATGAGGTGAAGGCGACAACTAAAATATTTTCACTAACTAAAAGGATTTTCACGATAATCGGTGCTGATGATCCAAACCCAAATACATTGAATTGACTTTGGATTTAAAAAGAAAACAATTTGCAATGTGAATGTAGATTTAATCTACAAGTGCAATATATATATATATATATATATATAGCACATTTCATTACATATAAACTTTTTTTGTTATTGGTACTTTTATTTATCTTTTTAAACAGCTGGGAAATAAAACAATATAAGTAATTAGTGCACACATATTTCATCAGTAATCGTCATCTACAATTTTGTCAAAAAATAATTGATCACAAAAATATACTTCTTATGTATAGTGCAAGCTCAGTGAGTATTTGCTCCACGTCACACTCACACTGATAATTCTGGTTATTTTTGACCATGTCAGCCAGGCCTAATAGTTAATGAATACATTTTGATTTCAGTCCCTGACCCTCATTTAAATGTCCACAGTCTTACAGTTAATTACTCCATTAACTCGCTGGGGATCTTTTTCTGTTGTCTCCTTTCAGCCTTCCAGCCAAGCTCATTAATGGAGGTATTGCTGGCATCGTTGGGGTCACATGTGTCTTCCCTATCGACTTGGCAAAGACCAGGTTACAGAACCAGAGGCACGGTCAGCAGGTCTACAAGAGCATGTGAGTATTTTTAGTCACTTGTCGTTCATGACTAACAGCATGCATCACCGCTCTTGTCATACCTGCTTCATCCATGTAGTGTTCTCGCTGATCCCTAAACCCACATACATGGCAACAGAGTGAATGTATATAGTTACCAAACTCACTGGATGGTGACGGTTCATCCCTTACATTCCTTTCCAATGACATCATCCATTTCCCTTTGGAGAGTGGAAATTTACTGCTCCATCTCTCAGCATCTCCGTTTCCTCGGGATCTTTTCCACTGATCTTTACCCTGAGGCTTGTTAAAAACAAATATTTGCTTTGAATTCATTCATAATAATCATTTGATGTTCTCCTCTTAATCAGCTGCTTTATTAAATGGTCCATACTAATAGTAATTCCCATGTTTTCTTGTTTTATAGGATGGACTGCCTTGTGAAAACAGTTAAATCAGAAGGCTACTTTGGCATGTACAGAGGTAAGAGTGATGCACGTCTGAATATTAAGAACCACGAGGTCAGAACACGTAGAAGAGGATTATTTCTAGTGCAGGTTTAACTTTGACATATGCACTTCAGATACAGTTTTTGTTGAGTGCATGGGATACTTTACATTTACATAACATACTGTGTGGTTATGAGTAGAGCCTGACTGACGGATTTTTGTGGCCCGATGTTAGTAAGTAAAAATAAATCTATCAGATGTTGATATTCAAAAAGTGACAATGATTTCTAAGATGTTTAAAACCCTTATAACAAAGTAACATAATTTTACAATTTAACCACCAACTTTATTATAAATAACAAACAATAATGAGAATACAATCATTTTGAACTAAAGGTACAGTGTGTAGAATTTTGTGATATCTAGTATTGATATTTCATGTTGCAGCTGAATACCCCTCACATCACCCTCTCTGAACCTGTGCCAGCTTCAGTTGTCATAAAAATCTCAAAAGGTGTTTAGTTTGTCCAGTCTGGACAACAGTAAAAAAAAAAAAACATGGTGGCCTCTGTAGAGAGGACCCCCTCTATGTAAATACAAAGTATTTAAATATAAAAGTCCTTTTCTGGGGTAGAGAAAACTACATTTCATACAATTTAGATGAAACGAACTAGTGAAAACATCATGAGGATTATTCTACATTAAATTTTTGACAATTGTTCCTTTTCACCTAAATCTTACACACTGGACCTTTAAGCTCTACAAGGTTCATATCAGCCAAATGATGTCAGTCAGGCTCTAGTTATGATTTTGAATTAGTTGTAAAAAGAAAAGTACCCAAAGCTGTTCTCTTGCAAAGTGGTTTTGTAGACTCTAGTGTTTTTTACATGCAGTCAGTAGGAAATCACATGTCCTGTTTTTTCAATGATCAGTTCACTGACTTTCGATGTAGAACAAGAAAATGTGGACATAGTTCTTATGAGGAAAATTGAGACCTTTTAGTCTGGGTCTCTGCCTGTGTGAGGAATGCTGTTTGTTTGCATCTGTGTTTTTCATATTGCAGACGTGGGTCCCCTGGGCTATTGAAGGCTAGCCGATTAAGGCGCAGCCACGCTGGAGGCAAATCATTAAATGGTTCTTACAATATTGCTCTATTTAAAACTATAGGCACAAGTTTTTGTTTTGCCATCTATTTGTTTTGTGTTCCGACAACTTCTGTCAATAACCTCCTGGCTGTTTCTTCACTGTCCTGTTTGTCATGAATCCTCCAGACTATCGACTGTGTCCATTTTAAGACATTGTTGATCTTCCTAATTCTGTGGCGTATATTAATGTCATGTTTGTTTGAGTCCCACAGATCTATTTTTAAATGTGTACACATTACATAGCCTGGAGTTCTCTGTCCTTTCACAATCATCTCTGCATTTCTGTTGTTTTCATTAACCACTTTACTGACTTGTAGAATGTCTATAGACTTGTATATTCTTCTCTACAAACAGTGAGCACTGTACATAAACCGACTCACTCTTCTTAATTAATTTGATGTTGCATCTTCCTCTGCTATTCACCAACCTCCTCATTTCTTCTCCTGTCTTGTGTTTTGCCTGTTTCTCATTTTCCTCCTGTAACTCATTTTTGTATGTGATTTCTCTTGAATCATTCCTGTTCTATAGTTATTACTGAAGCTACTGTAAATTGTTCATTTGTCTTGTTTATAGATTAGCTGTGAAATGAATTAATTGTTATGATGGGTGTGGCAGGGAATGTTTTTTTGTTTTGGTGCTAAATAAAAGCACGATTGTGGCTCCAGTGCTAAGTGTAATTTTTTTTCCTCAGGCGCAGCAGTAAACTTGACACTGGTCACCCCGGAGAAGGCCATCAAGCTGGCTGCTAATGACTTGTTTCGCCACCATCTTTCTAAGGATGGGTGAGTAAAATTCTCTTAAATAGATTGTTCATTTAAAAATGTCCCATCACTGTGTGACTCATCATTTCTCTTATCTGTGAACAGAAAGGGGCTGACTTTGTTTAAAGAGATGCTGGCAGGCTGTGGTGCAGGAATGTGCCAGGTCATTGTCACCACACCCATGGAGATGCTGAAGATACAGCTGCAGGATGCAGGCAGACTCTGTAAGTTTCGAATTAAATGGTATTTCAGATGTTAACCCCTCGTCACTGTATGAATATATTTATTTTATATTTATTCTTTTTCAGTGGCTCAGCAGCAAAAACCAGTCATGATGTCTCCCACAAAGCTCGTGGCCACTAACACAGTGCTCACCCGCTGCTACAACTCTGGCACGGTGACCTCGGCACCACGAGCTGTGTCCGCCACTCAGATTGCAAAGGAGCTGCTTCAAACTCAGGGCATCCAGGGGCTCTACAAGGGACTGGGGGCAACACTGATGAGGTAAAGACAAGGAAGAACATGTATTCTTGTTGTACCAGTTACTTTGTTTAAGGTTTCCAGTCTAAAACTGCCTTTTGTTATACTTCTTTCAGGGATGTCCCCTTCTCCATTGTCTACTTCCCATTGTTTGCAAACCTGAATCGCCTGGGCAAACCCTCCCCAGAGGAGTCGTCACCCTTCTACTGGGCTTTCCTCTCAGGCTGTGCAGCAGGTTCCACTGCTGCCGTGGCTGTTAACCCCTGTGATGGTGAGATTTGAGAAAAATTGTAATCAATCTATCGATAAGCAAAGCTCTGGAATGTTATCTAATGTTTTATCTTCTCTCTGGCAGTGGTGAAGACCAGGTTGCAGTCACTGAACAAAGGGTCCAGTGAGGAGACATACAATGGTGTTGTGGACTGTGTGAGGTAAGACAGCTGAGTCACTAATCGTTGCACAGCTACCCCTCGTTTTTGTCTCGTGCTTGTGTGTAAGTTGACCCACTGCTCTGTCTTTGCAGTAAAATCATGAGGAAGGAGGGACCATCTGCATTCCTGAAAGGAGCCGGCTGTCGGGCTCTGGTCATCGCTCCTCTCTTTGGAATTGCACAAGTTATGTACTTTCTTGGCGTTGGAGAATACATCCTGGACAACTCGCCCCTGGGCCTCCTGTAGGCGTGAAACCACATCAGTTCACTGTCTATGCATACGACCTTCTGGGCATAAATGATGTAACAACAGGCAGCTGCATACCAACCGTTTAAAGCAAAAGAGAAAATAATGACACACGGCTTGTTTGACAAGTTCAAAAAGGCTTCAAGGTGTAAAGACACATTTCATCTTTTGTGTGCGCTGACAGCTGTGTTGCACTTCAAACACTTTTCACTCTTGTTCAGTGGGGCTGTGGCCACCGTTAGCTCGAGCTGTTAGCCTTACTGAGTTGAGGGACTCAGAGTCGCAGTGTTCTGTGTTTGTCCCGAGACTGTCCTATTGTGTTTCCCTCTGTGAGGGCGTGGTGCTCACTCCATCAAAGAGACCGACGTGTTTCATGTTGTCACATTTCGTATTGGTTCTTGTACGTGAGCTAGAGATTTATTCAGAGTTGCTGAATGCAGTAGCTTGCATTATTTTCTGTTTGTGCGTCTTTCTTCCTTTTCCATTGTTGTCTCATGTTTCACTTTGGAACAGAAGGCTTCAAATGAGGAAACAATGGAACCTATTTACATACATTTCATTTAAAGGGATCTTTTAATTTTTTTTTTACTTCACTATACAGCAATTCTGTGATATACATTTGGACTGATCGTGAACCTTCCTTGTGACGTGGGACCAGACGGTTTGTCAAACCATGAGTAGTGTCCTGCTTAATACTTGACGTTAGCGCTTCTGTTGTTTCGTAGTTTGTAAACAACAGTCTTTGTATCTTAATATCTGCAGAATCTTGATGCATCCATGCACATTATATTGTATAAGTGTGTGTTTGTTCACATACCCTCAGTTTAGGGACTTGCATATCCAGACCTACCATCTCAATCACTGGTTACTGTGTTTTATGCCTTAACAGTGAAAGTCGGCATTTCTTTCTGAAGAAATTGTGCTCTTGGCCAAAAAACAGCATTATTACTAATGTTACTGTGATCATGTGACAAATGACTGTTACCTTTGTGTTTGATGGCTTCTGTACATAGTGTGTGTATATATATATATAAATATATTGCATTAAAACCTGCAATCCTCTCATTGTTTGTTCATGAATCATTGACTCAATAACTAAAGCTGCATGTTTTCTTGATTCAACAACTATAAATAAAATCATAATTAATATCCACAAATGCAACAAATGTTTACTTTGTCAGACACTTTGTAAATCCTCAAAACTGACTTCCTATTTATTCGCTATAATTCCATTTTAATCAATTTCCTCTGCTCATTTTCCTTGTTTTTTGCTCATCGTTCATTTTAAAGCAATTTGTCTCAGAAGGTGAGACAATGATGCTGCAGCTTCTATAACAGGCTGGAAAATAAACAGTAACATCACCAGTCAGTATTTTTCTTATGTTAAGTAATGAATATATAAATTGATCATTATCTTGGAGAATTATGTGATACTGAAGAACTCTCTTATATTTGACCTTGACAGGTTCATACTTGATTTTGAAAATACTTTTCAAGATCAACTAAACCAATGCAACATTATCATAAAGAATCCAGAGTTCCTGGGCTCTTTCTGACCTCATGGTTCATATGTAAGTGTCACATTATGCATTTACCTTCCTGCTATTGTTGGCACTACGTGACTGGTGTCACATTGTGCTGCCGTTGCATGTGGCTGCCATTTAGTGTGCACCAGCTCACACGTTCATGAACTTGAACAAACCACAACATTTGCATGATAGACGGGCGCTGATCCGCTGCATGTGAGCAGGAAAACAGAAAACCCACACGAGAATAAAAGCACCCAGGTGTTGTTTTATTGTGTTAAACAGTACGACTTCAACTACATTACTCTACAGTTCACATCTTATTGGCACACCAACAAGATCCACAAGAATTCACACACAGAATGCAAACTAGCTCACTGTTACAGTTCACACAGGATGAGGCGTTAATCATGACCTTACACGGGAATTTGGACATTTACAGTCAGTTTATCATCAAATTGAAAAATAAATATTGAAATATCAACTCTACACTTCCATTATTGTGCTTTAAAGTAGCAACAGATCAGTGGCACAGAGCAAGCACAAGTTGTTATGTTCGCAGATCACATGGAACAGGCAAATAGTACAGTCACTGGAGGCTTGTGTGTGCGTGTGTGTGTGTGAGACAATAGGCACATGATGGAAATTGGATCAGCAAAGGATGACTCGTCCTCCAAACATTTAAGCACACAAACATATGACTGGCATTAAAGGCCTTTAAATGGCATAAAAACATACAAAGGGCACAGAAAAAATAATGTTAACAGCAGGTGCACAGAACTGGTGTCCATATTTACAGCAAATACACAACATTCCTGTCAGAGTCGGCTTTGTGTGCTGCGCTGTGGCTGTGGTGCAGCAACAGTGTAGTAACAAGGGAATGTCACAGAGTCGTGTCAAAAGCAGTGTGTTACGGAAGAGAAAAAGGGAAGTAAAAAAAATCTCAGTGCCGGCGTAGCTGAGGAGGAGACGAAGGTGTGAAGGTGTCGATCCAGCGTGTGTGGTGTTGAACGGGAAGATCTGGGACAGCTGGGATGTGCTGGACTTGAATTTGTGAATATACAGTAAACCTCCCGACCAGATCAGGACGGACTATGAGATGAGAAATGACATTGAAATGTGACTTTGGTGTTTTCACCTCTTATGTGTGAGTCTGGCCGGTGGGGGGGGGGGGGGTCATCTATATAACCTCCCTGCTGTTCCTGATGGCACAACACAGAACCATGCTGAAGATCATCCCTAAGATCTGAAAGCACACAAAGTTTGGGGGAAATTGTTAAAGGGTTTATGGGATTTAAAGTAAAGTATCACAAACTAGTTTACGATGACCATAAAGACATTTGAATTGCAAAGAAAAATCATAATTATAACACGTTTAATTTTATTGCATTAAATGCAGCTCAAGGTTTTAGAAAAAGAACAGAACAAAATAAACTAAAAATCAGAAAATATGAAGACTGGAAAAGATGTTAAGAGACATTTAAGTATTAAAACAACATTTCTAGGAAAACACAATTAATTAAAAGTATTAAGCAACATGGAACATCAACTAGTTTGTATTATTTTTGACCCCTCTCTCTCTCAGTGTCTTGTGACCCCCCTGGGGTCCCCACCCCTAGTTTGAAAACCACTGCTCTTGATTTTGTAAATTCTCACCATTACACCTGCGACACCGATGCCGATGTATCCGATGATGTGCAGCTTGTCATTGAAGAAGTCTGTGATTGCAGACAGACAGTCCTGAAAGCAACAAATAAAGCATCACAGATACAGACAGCTAACCTGCGGATGCCAGCACCATAAAACATCATGTTAAAGCCAATCTTAAAGCAGCATTGTCCTGCCACCTTGTGGATATAAGGTGTAATAGCAGCCAGAAAGCTTTACCTGGGTGTCACTTGGAGCATCTGCACAGAGGTCATTAGACACTTCTGACATGGAACCTCCGCAGCAGTTTAACTGGAAATTAAAACAAAACGGTCACAGGAGTAGCAACGATAGGAAGGACGTTGATGAACACAATCAAAGTCTAACTCACAGTTTTGTGGTAAATCAGTGCGATGGCCGTGCCGTTCACGTTGGTGGTGTCAGTAATGGAGCTGCTGTAAAACTTCTGGACCTCCTCAACAATCTGTTCATGACAAATGATAATACCAAATCAGTTGATTGTGTTTCTGAACTAGTTTTATAATCTGGTTGAAGAAAAGTCATTTGAGTCTGTACCTGTTCCTTGTTTATGAATCCAAACACACCAGCGGCGATCTCAGCACCAAAGATTATCAGGAGGCAAGCGAAGAACTGCACAACACAACAGAGGCTTGTTGTAAATGACATTGATTTTCAGTCTTTGTCTGGAAACATAAATAGATGAAATAGAAAATTCCTTGAAAACAGTTTCTATTCATGTAGGCCTGGTAATCTAAGTTTTTCAAGTTGACTTCACAGTAAGTAAGATTTCAGATAGTTTCACCTGCTGTGCACTGATGAGAAAACTCTTGGTTATGAATGAAACTGTTAATGTTACAGTCAAACTCTATTTCCCCTGTAATTGGTACCACATTAAAAAGCTACTTAGGAAATAATTAAAACCTTACAGACAGAATAAAGAGTTCCCACAAAGAATGTATTCTTCGTTTATCTTTGAAATGCCAGTAAAAGGAACACTCAAACAAAAACACTGTAGAATAGCTCCACAACTGCAGCATTTGAACTCACCGACGCCAGAAGACACTGAGACTCACGCACGGCCCCAAAACATCCGAAGAACCCAACGACCATCATCAACCCTCCTGCACCAAGAAGGATGTACACGGCTGAAAAGAGACAAATAGTAGTAGTAGTAGATTGTAGATCAGTAAAGACATTTAAAGACATCTAAAGTCACTAGAATGAGAATTCACAGCCATAACAGACGAGAGGACAAGAACCTAATCATCAGGGTGGGTTGGTACAGTCACATGACTGCAGTTCACAGTTTCAACTGAAGATGGCAGCATGATCCAGCTCCTCTCCTGTCTGCTGAAGCACAGCTCATGAAGAGACTCTTGTTGGAGGTAGAAACTTCTCAAGGAGCCTAAAGCCTCCGATTCCCCTCCTACATCTTTACTCTGTTTATCTCACAACTCCTCCACTGCTTAAGATTTTTAAATCCTTAAACCGAGATGAAAGAAGCCTGAGACTCTTAACACGACCCACATGTTCGACTTATTGCTACTTTTAAGTTTTAGTTTTAGTTTTCGGTTATTTTGTCTTTACGGGATAAATAAGCACAAACCCCCGATGAATTCTAAATTCAAGATGGATCGCTGCTCGCCGAGAAGCACCCGCAGTGACCATCAAGCTTACTAATGACTGGACATACGACCCCATCCACACACGTCTCAGAGGCCTGGGCAGAGTCTGTGTAGCACCACCATCAATCTGAGTTAAAGACAATGGAGCTGGAGAGTCGACTTCCGCTTCGCTATTTCATACATTAGTGTTTCTTCCAATTACGTGGACTTTGTGCGTTCGTGGTCCTGCAGGACAGAGCAGTAACACAGATGCCATCTGTCCAGTTAAAAAGAGGCAAATCAAATTTTCATGGGTTTGATTGCTCACACACACCCATACCCCCCCACCACCATCCTCTGTGAGCCTGGATGTCGTCACCTTCCCCTGGTCCGCTCCCCCCTTTGCTCCCAGCCCTCACGACTGAGCCCTTCAGACTGTAACCAGACACCGGGGCCCGGTCCCCGACGTCCATGGTAAGAGCCTAATCAGTGACATAGACAGCAACCACTGCAGCAATTTAATTAATCCACATGGGGGGAATGCAAGCTGTTGTTTTGCTGCTGTTGAACAAAAGAGGAGGTAAAGACGCAGAAGGGAGCGAGGGAGGGTGAGCAGAGGAAAATATAATGAGACCAAATATACAAAGTGTCTGCTGACGGTGTTTTCCATCACTTTAATATGTCCTCTTTTACCACTTCCTCTGAGTGGAACCACTGATCTAACGGACAACTGTACTTTCACTTTCTATGTTGCAAATTAGTGGTGAAAACTAACAGGGGCAACAACGGTGAAGCCCCCCCATGGGAACTCTGCCACTTCCCCTTGTTATGGCATCAGTCTGTTTAGTCCCCTCGCTGAAGGTGCACGTAATAAAATCATTTGTTCAATAAGTACAGAAACTGTAACAATTGTGTTTTTTTTACAGGGAATGTATGTTTCAAGCGATTTCCTGGCCGAGTGAACTAACTTCCTGAACTTCTGTTAAAACCTTCGTTCACCTGAGCAAGAAAAAATGTGATGGGAGTCAAAAGAACAATATTTGCCCCGGAGGTGTAGAAGAGCAGAGGTAGAGGCTAAAAGAAAAATGGCAAACTGTAATATTTAAGTTATCATAGTCAATAACAGTCAGGTAGAGCGAATGTGAACATGGAATCAAATGTGAGACGAGTTGGAACGTTAACGGAGAAGTTGATATTTGCATGGAAATGTAAAGCAACTTGAAAAAGAAACTATCTCACATACTGTACTTTGCATAAATAGATAACTTTGATAACTTAGTTATATTTTAGCTTGATAAAAAAAAAAAACTGGCACAGTCTGCTCTTCTTTCCCTTTTATCACAGTGACGCTCTAACAACTGTCTTCACCTGCTACTCATGTCCTGAGGGAGACGGCCGGTTCCATGAAAGCGCGGCAGAGAGCTGATGAAGTGAAGTCACCATTTTAGGTCATGGTCTAAATACAAATAACAAGAATAGGCTTCATTCTAATCATCAGCTCCTACACAGAGGGAGAGAGGGAGGGAGGGAGAGAGAGAGAGAGAGAGAGAGAGAGAGAGAGAGAGAGCCTATTGTATGGACACTACTGAGGCTGTTTGTCTGGTCTACTGTATGTTTTACTCATCCACTGTGAGTTTTAATGGAAGCTCAGTCAGAAGCTTCAGAGATATTTCACAGAAGAGACAGAACTGTTCATTAATCAGCTAAAGTCCATTTGTGTGTGTGTGTGTTATTCCAGAGGAGGGGAAATCCAATCTGTGTTTGTAAAAACAAGCGATTCTCTACATAACCCATAAACCAGAGCGCTGACACTAATGTGATTCAATACTCGTTTGACATGTTTGTTTTCCCACACGAGTGCAAAGCAACCGAGTTGAGACAGAAAAGTATTTTCGTGTTAAAGAGGCCTAATGACCGAGGATGTGAGGAAGTGACGACAGAACTGAACGCACTGAACGTGGCTGCTGAACGTTCATCATCGTTCAGTGAAACAAGGTCGTTTCTTATGTTTATCATGACGCGCCATTAAACCTGACGTCAGCAGGTCTCGTGTAGAGAAGACAGATATTGATTCATTTAAACATCAGGATGTCAAACTGTTAGTTGACACCATCGACTGTCTCACTGCAGTAAAGGTCATACATTGCACCTCCTCCCTGTTGGTGGATGGGACATGGACCAAACTAAAAAGTCAAAGTGTACAACTAATACATTTTTTCTCAAAGATGGTTTCTGTTATTTTAGATCTTTCTTATAAAACTGGTGTTTGGATTTAATGACTTATTTGACGTGTGGTTAAAAGGCCACTATTGCACAGATGCTGGATCCAAATGTGCAAGATGGCAGCGTTCTTTTCTCCAGTATTTTAGCCTTATGTCAGGATAGTGGGAAGAAGGGGAGACATGTCGTCCATCTTTATTTACATTCTATGTATTTACTCCTTTTTGGCTTGAAGAGAATTCTTTTATGTAAATCTAAGCTGAATCTGTAGTCAATATAATTCATGGGAATTCTTCCTTCCAGATGTGAAGCATTGCTTGAATGAAAAACCAACAGTTCATTGATGTGAAAGATATTATTCCTCAGATGTGAAACTAAATGACTAAACTAGAATGGAGAGCGTGAACCTCCACCCACCCCGAACAATCCTAAACACGATTGTCTAGTTCATATAAAGAAAAAGAAAATTAAAAACTAAAATCCTGGTTCTTCTCTGACCCTCGACCAAGTTTGGTGGAAATCAGTTTAGCTGTTTTCGTGTACTCCTGCTAACAAATCAACTAACAAACAAACAGACAAATAAACCAAATGGATTGAACACAGTTATCTGAGTTGTCCTTTATGATCTGTAGATGCGACGTGTGATCGGAGATCTGCAGAAATTGTCACGTACCTATAAAGAAGGTGTCGGGGGCTCCCTCGCCCATCAGGAGCTCCACTGTCTCCGGGTCAAACCTGAGCCAGAGTCCCACAGCCAGCACCAACAACCCCGACAGCTGAGGAGAGATGAGAGACTTTTCACTGAACCACAAACCGTTTGAAACAAGGCGACTGTTTTCAGGCTTTGAGTGACATGTTTGGTGCGAAGCCCAGAAATCACTTCACAGTTCAAAACTGAGGCCCAACGCGTTTTTGTCTTTGGATCTTCGGTCGATTAAGATTCAACAGGTTGTGTATTTGTCTTTGTCTCGTCAGTGAAGCGGATCCTGATGCTCACTGTTCCGTTTATTCACAACACACACAAGAAATGCTAATGTATCACCTCAGGAGTGACTAAAATATCAGCTGGAGGCTTGTTTAAACACATCACAGGCTGGACAACTGGTTTTTTACTTCCATCTAACCGACATGTACACTGTGGAATCTTGTTGGGGGGGTATTTATACAACAATTCAAATAAATACCCTTTGAAACAGCATGTCAAAGTTTGTGTTAGTGTGTACTGCCTAAGGATGATCAGATTTTAATAAATAAAAAAACAGAAGCTCTGTTTTACAACATTTAAAAAAAAATAGATCCAAACTACTCAACAAACGGTTATAAACTAAAACAATCCATATTTCTATATCTTTTGTCTTTCATATAGTCCAGTGAAATGAGCTTTGCTGATCAACTAGAAAGAAAAATATAAAACCACATCTATAACCAAATCCATCTGTTTAGTGTGTGATCCTTTTCCTGTCTTTGTCTCTGTTCATTCAGCTCCAAGAACAGAAATAATCTGCTGTCAGGAGACAACTAGAAAAAAAAATGTCTGAAAAAGAAACAGAACATTTTGTAGCAGCAGTTCCTTTCCCACATATGGCTCATCAAAGTATCATATCAGAACGCCAGCCTCTCTGTCAGCATCGCTGGTCCGTCTCCCGTGGTGCATTTCAGCCACAGGCTGTGCCAGCCTCACAGAGCCTGGGTGATGTAACTCACACTGGCATTGGCTGCTTGTTTGGCTCCGAACCCCAAAATGACAGCGTAGTGTACTGTACACCCCCCGATTGGCTCCGACCACAACGGCTCCACTTTCACTCCCAAAACTGCTCAACAAAGAGGCCGCTGTGTGTTTGGGTGACACAAGCCTTCGTCTTACAGAGAGCACACAGAGCACCACGTGAGTCGATCAACAGAAATTTAATATACCACGTACTTCTGTCTTTTTTCAACCTATATAACCAAACAATATTCAGCTCCAGTTTCTCACTTGTAAAGATTTGCTGCTTTTCTTTGTTTTATGGAAGCTTAAATTCATTTCTGGTGTTAAAAGATTAATCACAGATATAACTACCAATAATTGTCATAATCTGTGATGAAAAGAAAATAGTTGCATCTCCCATAATATCTTTTATTTGCTGGGTACATAATATAAAATATTAATTTTAAACCATCACAAGATGTTAAATTAAATGTACCTCTAAACTAATACTATTAAGTAACAAGTAATTTAATAATAATAATAATAACGCAGATTTCACAAAATAAGGTGGAGCTTAAATGTATTTTGCAGTTATGAATCTAAATCAGTGGATCCTAATGTGGGAATTGCAAGATTTGCTGAAAGGACGTTTTCAGACCTTTTATGTTTTTATCCAGTTTGTTTGTTTGTTGTTTTGTTTGTTTGTGAACAAGATTACACAATCACAACAAAACCAATTCCCACGAAACTTGGTGGAAGGATTTGGTGCTTGTCAGGAAAGAAGCCTTTACATTTTGATGTTGATCTGGATTCAAACAAAACCAGGCGTGTTAAGTCAATTAATATGAGTGTGTGGGATTTGGTGCAACATGATGCAACTTGACAACCTGTGCCGAGTAGCTTTGTTTGAGCGGGTTCGAACCTTCCAAAAACTACTGCTCTGAACCATGTTTCTCCAAATGTGTCTTCCAACAAGACAAGTGCACAGCTACATGGAAAATGAAGCGTCCCCTGCTGCAGGTGGAACCACAGGTAACCTTATCTGAACAGATAAAACCAAAACAAAAGCTTCCAGTGTGTACCCAAAACAAGATCAACCCAGTCTGCAAAAGAGCAGCCATCACACTCCAAGACCTGCAGGAAAGTCACAGCACAACGTAAAACCACGAGACAGACTCTGAACAGTGGGTGTGTTGGAAAAGTAGCAGCAGTCCGCAGCTGTGCATGTGCTGCAGTGCTACATTACAAACCACATAGATCATCATCAGTGGCTGACTGGCTCTTATGTGATGTACTCATTAATTATTGAGAGCGGTTCATAGATGGAGGATGTTTCCAGAGCTGTGATGAGGTTTCAACAGAGTTGAAATGAAATGGAAGATGATTGATGATTGATAAATGAACTCAGGATTGAGAACAGTGTCAGAGAGAGTGATGTGAATGGAGCAGGTGGATGGAGGGAGTCTGCACGGCTACACCATCAGCACCACTCCCCAGTTCTCCAGTGAATAATGAAACCAGGTTAGTTAAAATAAAAACATAACAGCATCGACGGGCTGGACACGGTGTCAGTCTGGAGCAGGAAACACTGTGAGCTGGAGCAATCACAGGTTTTACGCATGAAAACACATGAAAACAGTTTATAACGAATATTTCAAACCTAATTCAGCTCCTCTGACAAGGAACAGCAAATACTGATGAGCTGCACATTTAACCATCAGGATGATTTGTCTCTATTTATAACATCACCGTTGTTTCCATGCAAACGGTCCGTGCAGGAGACTTACCCAAAAGATGAAGTTGAAAACGAAGAGCAGATATTTCACGCATTTCATCCCGCCCTGCACTTTGCTCATGATGTCACCTGGTGTTGTCGGATTTCTCCGATCTGCAGCTTTTATTATGAGAATCCTCTATTTGTTCTTGTTCTTCGTGCAGCCGCACATCAAACCCGTGCACTGATGCGGAGGAGCTGCGCCGCTACAACATCCCAACAACAAACACATGCGCACACGCTGCTGCGCGCGCCGGATGATAGGCTGTTGTTGCACGCCGCTTGGCCACGCCCATCTGCGTGTGCGTGCGTGCATGCGTGTGCACGGTGAGGTATCCAAGGAGGAGGAGGAGGAGGGTGTTTTACTCTTTTCTCATCTGTACCATTTTTTATTTCTGTATCTGTGGTCTGTTGCTGACAATTATAGATATGATACGAATAACAACCACATAATAATAATAATAACTTTGTTTTATTGCACCTTTCAAAATAACCATTGTAAAATTCTCTGCAAGACAATAAGCAAAAATAATGAAACATCATTTAGCATCTGAGACAACGGGCGATATAATCATAGACTGCATATAAAAGAGGACATAACACAAAATCTATCAACAACAACAAATAGATTAAGAAGATTAAACCAGTAAAGAAAACTGTCTCAGCTCCGTCAGCAGAATCTATTTCTGTTCTATGTTTGCATAAATATAGTTTATTTTTCGGACTTTTTCAATTCCTTGAGGACACTCATATACCAGGGCTCTCTGGGAGCAACTGTACAAAAAAAGTTTATCATCTCAGTGAGTTTCTCACTGATATCTTTGTTTATTATGAAAATATGGGCTTTTGTCTACACCTGAGTCACAGTGACCTGAGCTCTGTCACTGACTGTAAACTCCCCTCAGGAACCAAAACCAAGGACGTGACCTGAGTGTCCTTAATAGGACACAGAAATGTGGCCTTTTCTTTATTATTATATTTCTTTTCTCTTTGAGTTATGTCTGGCAAATGACAATCATTTTCAAAATTGTTCTGTATTTTAAATTAAGTCTCATAATTGAGAAGCTGGAACTGTTGACTAAACTGTTGACAACTATCAAAGTAGCAGCTGATGTATTTTCCATCAAATGACTATGAATCCTTCCTGTTGTTCTTCATGTTTTACAAGTCATTCATATCTGTTCATGCACTTAATCACTCACCATTATCAGCCTGATGCCAACACGTGCATGTATCGTAATGTTTTAGCACATGTTACTTTTGCCCACTGAATTCAGACCAGGTTCCTGCGAGTGCATGTCCCTGCACACTGGAGCGTCTCCAAAGCCCCTCTGTGTCTTCTCTGTGGGCACGAGAGGGTCAGCATGGGTTCAGCCGCTCTCACATTCAAGCTTCTCATGTTTGTGCCGCCTTTGTTTGCTGCACTGATGTGGGAGGGAGCAGCCAGAGACCCCCCTGTGTGTCTGCCAGTATCAGTGAGGAGGATCAGCCAGAGAGGATCATGGGACACATCGCTGCCCACTCCTGCTATTTTCTATCAGGATAACGACTGAAAGAAACAGTGTCAGAGGAATACAATAGATAGATAGACAGATAGATAGATAGACGGATAGATAGACAGATAGATAGATAGATAGATAGATAGATAGATAGATAGATAGATAGATAGATAGATAGATAGATAGATATCATATATCAGTGGTCATTCAATCCTGTCATGAGCTTTGAGAGCTGTAAATATCCCAGAGCCAAACTGAAACTATATTCTCTGAGTATAATGAGTCAAAATCTAATTTTCTCACCCTCCTCTTCTCTGCTTCGTATGTGAATCTGGTGCGAGACCGTAACCTGATCTCCATCTGGTGCAGCTGTGACTCATCCTCATGATCCAAAAACATACCAGAGGTGAAGAAGGCTCCAAAAATAATGATTGACCTGGAAATGTTTAGGAGGTCATGTTGAACCCGTCTGTTATGAAGTGTAGAAGAACATTGTGGGACATTGGAAAAAGACAGACAACAAATTTTAAGTATGTTGTTAGAATCCTGACGAACTAAACTGAAGTCATATGTTTGCATGCGTTCACCAAGAGGCCGGAGCACAGTGGAGACCTTTGGAAAGAAAAGAATTAATGAAGATAAACTTCATGAGGCTGGATTTCTACACGTCATCGCCTCCATCTAGTGGGGAGATATAGAAACACACAGTCTGTGGCTGTAAGGATGCTTTTCTGTGTGTTTACGAATGAGGAGCAAATTCAAGGCCAAGCATCACACTCATTTCATTCTTCTTCTTTACTAACTTTTTCTTTACAAATTTCACTTTATTGTTGTTAGCAGCATTTAAAAAATACAAGTTTTTAAATGTACATTTTGCTTTTGAAGTTTTTTCACTTATACCACCAACACAAAAGTATATTATTTTTATTAGGTTTTTTTTCATGCAAAGCACTAATATAGCATCTAAATCTATTTGATGTGACTTGTGTTTTATTCCCATCATGCATAGCAATAACTTGAGTGAAGACATTTCAGGATTTAACATTTGAGAGTTGATTTCCAAAGTGTAACTTTGACACATTCTGATTTAAATGTTGTTCAGTGTTGAAGTTGTTTGACAGAGTTGATGCTCTGACTTTATTCTCGAAATGTCTAATACTTCCTCGTACTTAATGATTTCAAAATACACGTTCAATATTTAAATTACTTGTAACAGAGTTTTACATATTTACAATGTGGCATCAATACTTTTACTTGAGTGAAGTATATTAAATCCTCCCTCCTCCATGATGAGCAGCAGACTTGTTAACCTGGATCAGTTTTATTTAAGGACATGTGCCATCATTTATCCTCTAGAGGTCAGTGTTCTGTTGTTTTCCAGGCAGTGCAGCGATGTGAGGTAAACACAGTCACCAGTAAACTAACAAAGTGGTTATTCATATTCATAGAGTTCATATTTACAGGTGACAGGTAGACGGCTCTGTGGGAATATTTCTCCGGAAACATCGTGTCAGCAGCTGCTCTTTGTCTCGGTTTCAAGTTTTTACTCTAAGCTCACAGAGCTCACATCAGACATCTGAAATGTCAGCTGTGATGCAAAATAAATGGGCTACGTGCCTAAAGACCAACAACTTGTCAAGCCACTGTCTGCCTTGAGTCCTTTCTGCAGAGCACTCACAAATGTCACTGCCAATTCAAAGCAAAGGACGAGCCCTGATATTATCAGCCAGAAGAGTCAGACTGATGAATCACCGTCAATCCTTTTTGTGTTTATTCCTTTTTTCCCCTTTGTTTCATATCTACTGTAGAATGAAGAGCGGGAGGAAAACACAAAGCAAAGCCAAAACACCAAATTACTGGCAGTAAACTGAAGCCATATGGGTTTTCTCTTCATTTCTTCATCCAGGCCAAAATGTCTTCTCACGTCAAGACTCGGGGGGGAAACAACGGGCTTTAGTGTTCATACAATAAACTTCATCAAGCACTCAGTGCATGTATGTGAGTGTTTAATAAATAACAATGTCAATAACAACATTTTAACAAAAGTTTTGCTTATATCAGACCTGGGTCAAATTGTATTTCAAAGAGTTGTGGGTTTGCCGTAAGCTGCTTAGAGGGAGTGGGTTGTGTTAAAGGAAAACATGATTAGAGGCAGAAAAATCCCATAATTACCCCGATCGTGTCGTTGAGTTAAAACTTTAAGCAGCTTTTGCTCTGCGACAAGCTCAGTTTGACGATGAGGAGTCCTGTCTTGTCTCTTAAACCCCCACACTGTCCCCTGAAGCTACAACTCATGTTGCAAATGAGGTTGTCTTGTTCAAATCATCTCAAATCAGCAACACTATGTCACAGTTACCGGGCAACAGCGCCCCCTGCCACCACACATGGGGACTAATTCTGTTGTTTCACCGATAAAGTCATGCAGAGAAAAGAGTCTATCAATGTGTTGACTGCGTCGTCCCACCCACTGAAATACAGCTGACGGCTAGATATTACCCATGACCCCCGGCTACAAACCACTGCAGATACGGTTCGACCCAGGTCTGGTGTATATACTGTACATGTAGTTCTGATACTTTGACAAATACCAATAATTTACTTTGTGCAGAGTGAGAAGTCTTTGGTGATAAGTTGTGCAGAGTAGCATGAGTACGTATATGTCTGTGTGTACTGCACCCGACTGAGTGTGAGTCTATAGGTGTGTGTGTGTGTGTGAGGTGCAGGTCGAGGCTTCACTGCCGCCATGACTTGCGGCTGAGCACGCACACACAGGCCACGTTGATGCGTATGAGCCTCCACGCCACCAGGTTTTTGGAGGAGGTCAGCGCTCGTACAAAAGTGTGTGAGTTGGTGCAGTAGGAGTTCCAGTGTCTCGCATCGATTCCCAAACAGCCCGAGCTGCCTGAGTGAGCGCTGTGGCACGTGGTCTCGAAGAAGTACTGCTTCTTGTTGACATTGTTGATGTTGACGTCCGGCAGCACCGTCACCTCGTTGCCTGAGATGTCTATGGCCTTGGTTCTGTTGCCCACCCAGACGCTGATGCTTTCACACACCGAGTACACCCCACGGTGCTGAGGCTGACCCACTCGCCTGCGGGGCCTTCTGCCCTGAGCACCCTGTGACGCTGCCGGCTCTGCATCGGGGGGCTGGGAGCTGAAGAGCACCCTGGGTGAGAGGTAGTGGCGCTTGGTGAAGAGTTTGGGGTCCACCATGGGGATGGAGTGGGGGTCGTCAGCTGGATGCTGTTGCTGTGCCGTCGTGGTGGTACACGAGTCCCCTCCGATGGAGACCACAGCCCGGGCGCTGAAGAAGAGGAGCAGGACCAGCATGGACGACCTCATGGGCACACTACCTGGAGATGTCAACACACACACAGAAAACACACAAGCCTCTGTTGACATTGTATTTCTCACACGCTTGTTTAAGGTTTTAACCTGTAATCACTGATTTACTTGGTACTTGAGGGGAGTGGAAACACTGAGGTAGCTTTTAGGTGGTATGAAAAACATCCTGTATTTGTGAAGTTGCCAATTCAATTCACTCCGGTCCTGTTATTTGTTGGTTGGTTTGTTTGTTGTATTTTCCAGCTAAAAATCCATCGATGTTGTTGGATATAAATCAGGCAAATATCGGGGAGCGATATCTGAGTGTGTGAAATTGTTGTTGCAGCTTGATTTGACTGTTGGTCCTTGGCAGAAATATACGCTCTTCTGAGTGTCATTCTAGTTTTCTATAAATCTGGTGCAGTTTCAAGGTACCACAACTGTACAGGCTGAGTGAAGAGTATCTGAACACTGATATTACCGCCTGAAATATCTAAAAAATAATTGAAAATCATTCCTTTGACAGTTTGAGAGCTTTAATTCAGTATGTGGATACTGACTTAATGCAGATGTGTGTAAGCAGCTCCTCTTTAAAGTAGGACAACACACACAAGTCTGAGCTTTGAGAGATGTCTCAAGTATTGCACACAAAAATACATATTTGTGGTGTAACAGGACTTTGTCTGCAGCACCTCATCAAGGCTGCATCCTGACGGCACAGGTTCCAAATACCAAATTTTGTTTTTTAGATTCAGGCTTGATACGGTTAAAGGTCCAATCATCTGGGTTTTACCTTTAAGCTTGAGAGTTCTTTAAAAAAACAGTCCATGAATCCGAATGGAGACGACAGGATACTGAAGTGAAGCTCTGCCACAGAGGCTCAACAGAGGGAAACCATGTCCCAAAATGTTGTTGTTTATTGAGAATTAAATTCCATTCATTTCTGTAAACTGTGCGAAGTATAAGGTGCTGCTGTCCACAATGTTACGTAGATTTATGAAGGATTTTCAGTATGAGATCAAAATAAGACGACGTGTCACACACACACACTAAATGGTGTCTTCTCTGTTTTACATGAATGTGACAGGAAAATCAGAAACATGTACACAACTTAAACTTTAACTTGATGCTTAATTTTGATGCTATCACTTGTAGTTTATAGCCAATAAACTAAACCTTTAACCTTAAATATCTAAGTTTGAGAAACATTTTCCTCTTTATTCCAAAAATGTCCATGATTTGGTCTTGGCCCTCAGTTTGATATGACATGGAAAATGAATCCGTGAGTTTGTCTCCGG